TTCACACATTGTACCCATGTGGGGATTCGAACCCGGGTCTTCGGCGTGACGAGCGAACGCTTTAACCACTATACTACCCCACCGCCCGCTTATCATAAGAGGCAACTAACGGGACCGAGTGGCCAGGCTCACTGACTTGGCTGACACATGTCATCGTATCTTCGTAATTGCGTAGATAGATGCTCATGCTGTTGATCACTGGATTGTCTGGTCCAGACTCGATTATTTACAGACCGCCGCCAAATGGCTGGAATATTGCTGAGTGCAAACAAACTAAAGGAATTTGACATTAAAGTCCACCTCCAAATAACGCATCTTCCAGTTATTCTACATCGTTGTGAGCTAAATATTGACAACCATACCAAAACTTATCGTTGGAATATGAACCCAACAATTATAGATTATTTATAGTGTTTAAGGACTGACACAGACTCCACTTGACACAGACGCCATTGTTCGTTATTCGGTGCCACGGCCCGGTCGTAGAATCTGAATTCATTTCATCAAGTGGTTCCGTTTTCAAATGATCATTGAGAGGTGAGTCGCTTAAAACTGACGAAAGTGGTTTTTCAAGTAGTATCTTTAAAAATACGTATGTTAGTTCGTGATCTACACAATGTTGAGTGCACATCGTTATGATCTTCCGCCTTTGTGGTCTGATGCACAAGACCGTCCGCCGAATAAGATTCGATCCCGTACAGCGTCGACCAAAAGCCGTCAAAAGATGGTAGTTGTTGTTACCACGCCTGGCGCTAGACTTCATAGGGATGAAATGAGTAAGTCAGTGTGCTGTTACACCGCTTGTAGCAATAACCCACCAATATTACGGCAGAGGACAGGTTAAACTGGGGCATGGTATCTCAGCGGACTAGCTCTGGAACTTTATTACAACACGCACCGTGAAGGCGGTATCAGCCGATGAAAACATGGAGACGTGAATACAGAGATTCCCCCGTCAGATAGATAGACAGATAGATAGATAGATGGATGGATAGAAATTCATTGCAAAGTGAAGCTCCTGTTCAATTAGCTTGAGAAGAGTGAGTGAGTGCAATATTCCACCAATATCAAGGCGGGGAACACCAGAAATGGGCTTCACACATAGTACCCATATGGGGAATCGAACCCGGGTCTACGGCGTGACGATCGAACGCTTTAACCACTAAGCTACCCCACCGCCCCGGCTCGAGGGGAGACCATTGTGCAGATATTGGTGTATATTAACCTGGACTGAACGTATAAAGTCGATCTAAATTAAGTAGGTAAAGTGTCATTGCTCGGAACCTATATCAACATATTTTAGCCTCATTAAGAAGATGTTCCAGTAATGATTACATAAATGCACACCTACCTAATGACAAAGCGTGAGAACCAAAATCACGAAAACATTACACATATGCCCCTACTCTGCACACGCTGACTCCAAGGATATTAGCTGTAATGTTTGGTTCAGGGACCCGTTCAAGAAAAAAATCCCAGCGCTACAACTGTCTTAAACCAATTTCAGGAGTTGCGATAATTAAGCATTAAGATCGCTTTGTGGAATTGGTCCTACGTCCACTTATACAAAACGATCTTGGAGCTACAAGGATCATAAATACTTATACCCGTGAAGATCCTTATACCCGTGAAGATCCTTATACCCGTGAAGATATTGCACGCCGTTAGAGGCGACTAACGGGATCGGGTGGTCAGGCTCGCTGACTTGGCTGACACATGTCATCGTATCCCAATCGTGTAGATCGATGCTCATGTCGTTCATCACTGGATTATCTGGTCCAGACTTGATGATTTACAGGCCACTTCCATATAGATGGAATATTGCTGAGTGCGGCGTAAAACATAACTGACTCTCTTATTAATCCTTAAGATCCGCGGAAGCGCAAAAAATTCAAACCTAGCTGGGGCAACGGATATATCCATTAAGGAAGATTTTCATCAGCTAATCAGCTATCCGGTCATTCTTGACACGGCAACACATACATAGGTCATATTGAAGTTAAACTTTAAACCACTTCCTTGCCACACGCAACAACCTATATCGTACAGTGGGTCACGAGGGACATTGAAACGGTTTCACAATGTCAGTGCGGTTTTCGAAGTAATTTGTTTTACACGTTTTTAGACTTCGTTTCAGCAAATCATTACGCTCATTACACCGGAATATTAAAAAACATATAAAACATTACATGAAGTCAAATAAAAAAAGTTATAAAATACTGAATATTGATAAATGTGTTTCGATTGATGAACATGAAACACGGAAAGAGAGTTTATTGAAACGCACCAAAGTCTCACGAGAATCACAGAAAATAGGAAGTAAACTCAAATATAAAGAAAATATAGTCCATCTCACCACAGTTCAAATGCTGAAAAATATTTAGAGCAGAGAAAATATTTTTAATAGTCTCCTTTATAAATTTGATCTTCCGTTTTACTTTTCGTTATTCGCGTTAAATGTTTATTGTTCTTAAGTGTTTGGCAATATTGAGTGTTTTCCGAATATTTCATATTTTCATATTTATTTTGTACTATTCACACTTTGCTACGGATCAAATCCTGGATTCAACAGAAAACTATGATGTAGGGTCAAATCTAAGCTTATTGTAAGCATGCATGGATCCTAGGTTTCAGTATGTCATTGCATTTTGTGGATCCCATACCTGCTATTGACAGGTGTTGTGTACTTGTCAATGACTCGTTCCATGATTTGCAAAATGGTTGATTGGTGCCATGAAAGCCGTTTTGATGGTTACTCATGTATCAAGTGCATAAGGTTAGATTAAAGTGACTGTTTGCCTAAAGAGGGGTTACCATATTATTATTTATCCAGTTTTAAATGGATACAATTTCAAATTATAAATCTACGTTTAAGTAAAGTTGTGAATTTCTGTGATCCTTAGCAAAGTGTGAGTAGTATATTTTCCTACGTATGTGTACTGCTTAGTCTGTCATACAGACCCTGCAACAAATATATCCAAGAAAGCTACAAGTCTAGAATATATGGCAAGTCTAGAATATATGGCAAGTCTAGAATATATGGCAAGTCTGAAAATGAGGAAAGTCTCAGGACTCCATTTCAATATACATGTATATATGTTACAGTGAATATGTAAAACCAGGGATTATGTAGAGATAATTTTCAAGATTATGTATAATGTCTGATTCACTCAGTGATTATACATAATCACTGAAATTTTCAGGGCTTATACATAATCACCGAAATTTTCAGGGCTTATACATAATCACTGAAAAATAGACAAGAATTTTAGACATATTCCCTGAATCACTTGTGTAGTTTGAGGTATATTTCATCCTAAAAGATGTGGAATCCGTTTCAGTTAGTTATATATTTTGTTTCCTTATGAACTGTTTTTTTCTGTAAAAACTGTTCTTTCAGAGACTAGTTGTTAGTCTATGTACAGCCTAGTTCCCTAATTAAAATGGCAATGCCAGTGTTTATCCTATCCCTCGTTGACATACTATATATTTTGACAACGACGTACTTGCGACGTACTTGACCGACATACTACCTGACTCAATTATCGGCGGGATCGAAACAGATTTAGTCGCGGAGTAATGTAATACTTGAATGAGAAAGCGTGATACTCACAATGTGTAGACGGCCGGTGGGATAGCCTAGTGGCTAAAGCTTTCGCTTGTCACTGCGAAGACACGGGTTCGATTCCCCACATAGGTACAATATGTGATGCCTATTTCTGGTGTCCCTCGCCGTGATACTGCTGGAATAGTGCTTAAAGCGGCGTCAAACTATACTCACTCACCCACTCACTCAGAATATGTCGGAAACGTTTCCATGTCCCATGTGGGCCACCGACTGACAAGTATTTTCTTAATCGTTTCTCTAATTAATTTCATTTGCGTGTGTTTGAAATCCCCCCATACAGATATTACACGAATTAAATCGGAGAATGGTATCCTGTGAAAGCATACAAGATGGCATCTTGATAATCTAAGTGGTAAATATATCTTGTCAGACTTTTAATTTAAAAGCTCTACATCATGTATACTGTACGTGGCGAATATGCTTACGTGGTGATAGTGCAGAAATCTTTTAAAAAATCTCCACTAGTATTTTCGCGGAACATATGTACCGAAGTCTACAAAACCGAAATTAGCTATGGTGCGTTGGTCCTTGGTTCGAATCCCAAAATATTTAGGTGCTTATCGCCACCATTATTCGTGATCGATACATACGGACTGACTGACTGAGTTTGGTTTTACGCCGCTTTTAGCAATATTCCAGCAACATCACGGCGGGGGACACCAGAAATGGGCTTCACACATTGTGCCCATGTGGGGATTCGAACCCGGGTCTTCGGCGTGACGAGCCAACGCTTTAACCATTAGGCTACCCCACCGCCCCGATCGATATATAGGAATGTGGGACTATGCCTGTATGTTTCACCTTGTCAGCAGACCATGTTGTTAGAAGAGACGACTTACCGAATTCGTTTGTGTTTGTTTGTTGGTTGGTTGACGCCGCACTCAGAAATAGCCAAGCTATATGGCGGTGGTCTGTAAATAATCGAGTCTGGACCAGACAATCCGCAGATCAATAGCATGAGCATCGATCTACACAACTGGGATGCGATGTCATGTGGACAACTGCCTTCTGGACGATTAGCGCTTGGACAGTTACCTCCTAGAACAGCAAACCCAGCAAAAATTACGCAAACAAAAATACTTCGTTTGTTCGTTTGGTTCCTAAACGTTTGTTCCGTTCTGACTTTCACTCTGACAAAGCCTTTGGTATGTTCCCCGAGAAATATTGCCGACGCGGTAATGTAATTTCAGCACCCATTAGCCTGAGCAAGCCGTAGGGTGAAAAATAGCTAGTCCTCTGCTAAGCGGCGGTATGTCTTCTTGGGCGATGGAGGAACGTGTCAATATTTACGATGTGTGTGCATGTATGTATGTGTGCTATTGAACGCGCAGCGCTGAACAATTGCCACTTAGATTTCTGTTTTGTTTTACAGAGCATCCAGACAAGAAAAGGTTTATTTCTAGATTTGTTATTTGGAACGGAAAAGAACAAAGGTATACATGCCATGGAAGGTACCGGCATAATATATGTGTCTTTGGACTGGGGGATCTCCCCTCTTTGAAGGTTGCCCGGAAACTGGTTGCAAACAAGTTTGACCTTCAGTATGACCCTGTGACGTACGCGTGTGTGGAAGAAATTGTACGAAATCGAACTGTCAGCGGATTGGTGTTATTAAACCATATACATTACATTTGTTATATTATTTCTTCAAATTGCAGTCTCTAAGTAAGTGAGCTGTACATTTACGTTTACAGCAGTCAGGTTGTCAAGCATGAGTGAGTGAGTACGGTTTTAGCAATATTCCAGCAATATCACGGTGCGGGACACCAGAAATGGGCTTCACACATTGTACCCAGGTGAGGAGGTGAGGTGAGGTGAAATTGGATTTAACGTCGTGCTTGAGAATATTTCGCTCATATGACGACGTGCATGCGTGTGAATGTGCGGCTGCTTGTACTAGCCCAGACTTACGCTGGTTTTATAGTGCTAGCTCACTGAGGCGATTAAAAGGATCAAAGAGGCTTAGTGAATCATAGCATATCACAAGATTTTCCGGTCCATACTTAAAGACATGCCAGCGGACTGGGGCACCTGTTCTGTGGCAGAATCCCTACCAGGATGCAACAAGGAGTGAGTGGTCTGGATATACCAGGAAGCCTTTGAACTTTACTCTAGGTCCCCTATCCCCAAAGTGCTGAGGGTAAGCAAAACTCCAATGATAGCTGTCCTTATTGATTAACAGTGAGTGAGTATGGTTTTACCCAACTTTTAGCAATATTACAGCAATAGATCACATGGACACCAGAAATAGTGGTGGTGGAATTGGGTTTAAGGTCGTGCTTGAGAATCTTTCGCTCAAATGACGACGTGCATGCGTGTGTATGTGTATGTGCGGCTGACAGTACTAGCCCAGACTGAAGCTGGTTTTATAGTGCTAGCCCACTGTGATACCATGCCGCAGTCTATCTATCTATGACGCAGTCGGGGATCGAACCCGCGACCTTCCACACTCTGGGCGAACGCTCTAACCACCACACCACGGAGGCGGTCGACACCACAAATAGGCTTCACACATATGGGGAATGAAACCCAGGTCTTTGGCCTGGCACGTGAAGGCTACCTAACCGTCCCAGGAAATGTATGATCTTGGTTGGTTGGTTTGTTGAAAGCAATATGGCGGCTGTCTGTAAATAATCGAATCTGGACAAGACAATCCAGTGACAGACACCATGAGCAACAATCTACTCAACTGGGATACAATGACATGTGTTAACCAAGTCAGAGAGCCTGACCACCCAATCACAATAATCGCCTCTTGCTGAAAACCAATTCTAACCTGGATCTTCACAGGTAAGGCAATGTATGAAGCTACGACAGACATGTCAAAATACACTGAAAACAGCACATTGGTTTCTCTTTCTTGACATTTAATGACATATGTACATCAAATAATATGTCCTTTTTATATACAAATCTATAGTACACAAAAAGGTTACAGGTATTATTTCAGCACTGACAACTGGACATCTTTAACAAAGGAACAGGGAGGGCCAACACTACAAACGCCCAACAGAGACATGTCCACCTCATGATAAGGTATAAATAAAAACAGCTGCAGTGACTGAAGCATACATATCAAACACACATTCATTAATCACGTTAATTACACATTCCACCAGATCAAAGCTCTGTCATTTACCTTCATTTGTTTATAGTTACCAATGGTTGATATGAATCATGATAATATATTGATGCAAGTGAAAGGTGGACAGTGATGCCTTGTTGTAATCCAGTGAAATTATTCTAGGGCCAAACCATGGTTGCAGAATTACCCTCTAGGCTTTTATATCTTTCACCCAAAACAGCATTTTCCAAAGTAAATGGTCCAGGGACCCCTCCACAAAGTGTTCGTAGCACTACATCTTTCAAAAGCCAATGATACAGTATAGAGCTATGTCGTAACACTACGAACACTTGGTGAATCAGGACCCTAATGTATAAATTACCCTTTCATATGTTTCACCCAAAGATTATTTTCCAGGCTAAATGGGTCCAGGGACCCCATCCACAAAGCGTCTGTAGCACTACGTCATACCCATACCTAAGCCAATGATACAGTATAGAGTTACTATACTTCGTATCACTACGAACGCTTTGTGGATTGTGACCCTCATGTATGAAGTTTCATTGTATGTTTTAATCAGCACGTTTCTAGTTGCACAAATGACACCAGCAATGCCAGTCCTGAGACTGGCAAACCGATGGTGAACCATGTAATGTAACATATAGGGTGCAGATATACATCGGTTCAATTAGGTATTCCCTAGACCACATCTGAAAAGGCACCAGACCTGGATAACTCATGGCCAAACTGATGTTCCTTCTAAGGGCACTGTACAGGGACAACTGATCAAGCCTATGTTAAGGACACATGCAACTTCAGCAAGTTGATTAAACCATCTTCCTTGTGTTGCATTTCACTGTAACTACTGACCATCACAAACACTTTGTTAATGTCACACAGCAGTATTACAGCCAAGTGACAGCAGTCTGTAAACAATTGGAGCCTGGACCAGACAATCCTGTGAGCATTGATCTACACAAATGAATATGAAGACATGTATCAACATTATTGAGGCTGACCACCCATTCTTGTTAGTCTCCACTTACAAGAAAAATGGATAGCTGAACACTAACTCGAACCCTGATGTTTTACAAACACTAACTACCCCTATGTTCCTGTAGGGACAAACAGAGATGTACTCCTGTAGGAATCATGTCTTACACCAATAAACTACAGGAACATAGTGGGTAATTTTAAAAAATAAGCCCAGCCAGAATAGAGAAAAAATCAACACTAATATATTCTATTCCATTTTCCTACCATTGGAAAAACACAGATCAAAGACTGAACATATTTATACTTCAAAAGTTTACATTTTCATGATACCTCAATCCAAAGATCTAACATGCTGAAAATCTGTGATTCAAATTCCCAATTTGACTCATGACAGTTCTGATCAAAGAACAATTTGCATATAATTTAACTCATGAATTCCAAATTGTGTCCATATTAAAGATCCATATAAATTTTTACCATAAAAAAAAGTGAAAGAAATTCCTGAACCACTTCTTTAAGCATAAGGGATTTATGCTAATACCTTTAATGTGTCTAAAGACTAAGATTAACGAATAATTTAATCTCAGTATGTGTAATGCTTTTTCCAAATGAGCGGCAAGATTTGCAAGTAAAGATTAAGAAACTTGTAAAAGATAGTAAAATCTGAAACAAAATTTCAACCTTGATACAAGAGTGTAGAACACAATGCGTTGATTCTGAGATGTAACTGTGTTACATACATGTGGTACATAACCCATCTAGGAAAAACTGAAGAGTAATATCATTGAAATCATAACTATTGTTTAGACATTGCCATCATGCAGTCAGGTTTAAATATTTAAAGAATAACTATTGCTACACTATCTAGATGATAAATAGAAATATTCAACACAACCTGGAAGAAAATCAAACTTCATAAACTAGTCACAAATGTGACCATAAGGCCAGACCAATTTTATTTCTTGTTTTATGTTTTTTTGTCCTCAGAAAACACTAAGGCAGGAGGGGGGAAAAACATAACCAGTCAAAGTAGTATTCCTTTTAAATACTAAAAGTATTTTACTTTTGGCAATTTATGAAGTGTATATGAGGCAAAATACAATCTAAAATACATTTTCTTGAATGTTTATATTTTTGGCCAATAAAAACAGGATTTTATTTTTTGAGTGGGGAAGTTAAGGGACTGTTCATAATTTATGGCAGAGACCATATACCGATATCGGTATATGGTCTCTGTTTATGGCTAGGGGGAGGGTGATGATGATTTTTTATGGAGAAGCATGTACAATGTGAATGATCCCCTCTAAAATTTACGTACAACATAAGTGACCCCCCCTGCAAGTCATGTACAAAATCAGTGACCCCCTTCCTCCCCTTCCTATAATTTCTAAGTATAATTTTAAACATATTTTTATGTACAAAATTGCTGACCCCCCTAGTAAGTGTGTACAAAATTGCTGACCCCCCTAGCTCCCCAGAACAAATTTGGTGACCCCCTTAAAATCATCATCACCCCCCCCCTAACCATAAATTCAGAAAGGTCCCTAAATTGTTTTTTTGTTTTTTTCTTATTCTTGAGAAAACACAACCGGCAGATCCTTAGAACAAGAAACAAAATTGGTCCGGGCCTAATGCAATTAACAAACAAATACAGCTGCCAGGTTTTATACACTGTTAAGTATACTTTTATCCCAAGAACTACAAATGATGTGTTTACAAGGAATAACTTTTTTCATATTGGGGATTGTATAATACACAAGACAGGGACTCATTTGCCTGGCATCTATGTTTGGTAGAGTGACTTGGGTTTATCCCTGCACTGACGTACACTTCATGTACACGACCACCTATCAGCCTAAGGTGGAGCAAAGCCTTTATTTATGAAGGACTGTGTTATGTTCTTAGACTTGGCGGAACTTCATAACAATATACCACAGAACAAATGGAGTGTGCTGATATAACGTGTGCTTGGCTGTTTATTACCTTTCTCAACAAGAGTGATACAAGGGGACGTAACTCACATTGTAAGATCTCAGTCTGACACAGCAGTAGAGCGCCTAACCTTATATTATCGTCAATACACTACATCTCCTCTGTTGTTAATTTAAACGTACAACTTTAAAATGCTAATCAAGATCTTACTGTTTGTGATGAAGTCAAAAGGTATGGAGCTGAATACCAAGACACACAGTCATGGCATATCTGGGATTTCAACCCATCATCATGGGTTTCTTGCAACGGATGCAACTCTGCACAGAATATTTAGGACCCTTGTCAAACTACTGTGTAAGTCTCCACAGGATTATTATGAATTGTTAGATTTATAAAAACAAAACACTTACACATGCACACAATGAGGGTGTGAAGTGCCCTGTCTCACTGAGATCATCTCATAGTCCTTACTACCGGTGCACAAACATCAGAGGGCATCTCAGTGCAAGTCACACAGAAAGACTTTTCACCAACTTTGACAAACTAGCAAGAACTGCCACCTGCACCACACCTAGTCCCCTTTAAACACTGTCTTTCTTGATGCAATAAAACTACTGTCAACTGAACATACTAGGTAGAAAGCACCCCTTAAAGGTTTCTATCCGGCACTAACAAGAAAACAGTTACAATGCCCTTCTGTATTACTGTATTCTCCCATGACACTTAACACCTATATTAAAAACATATATGTATTACCACAATTAAAAAGACATCCAGACAAAAGCAGCTGGAACAAGGAAACCATGGCCCTCCTCCTCAATACAACAAACATACTGGACATTTGGAGATATATTTTGGAGACAGGCTCAACTTTATCTATACCTAACTTCACTCCATGAAAGAGTCTAAAACTAAACATTTCAAGTGCAAGAAGTCCGAAGTAGAAGTGAGTGAGTATAGTTTTATGCCGCTTTTAGCAATATTCCAAGCACTATCACTGTGGGGGATACAAGAAATAAACATCACTTGCTGTACCCATGTGGGGAATCGAACTCAGGTCTTCAGCGCGACAAACAGACGCTTTAACCACTAGGCTACCCCACCGCCCGACTAAGTAGAAAAGGCACTGCTTCACTATACTGTAACTGTCAGTGTGTGTTACATCCTAGACTAAAACATATAAGTAGGCAGCACCATTTTCAAAACACATAACTTGAAAGAAGGGATGCACCATATTACTGGCTTTCATTCACTACTGATGTTTTCCATCGTGATTAACTGACAAATAGGCATACCTTACATACTATAAACTGCAAAAAATGAATACAGAATCCCTAACTATTCAACCTAATTTTAAAACTGCTGTTATGACAACCATGACTATATATTTTTTCGGGATTAGTATGTAGAAAATAGGCTCTGCATGTACAGTGTCACTCACTGTCAAAAACTTAAGCTCCCAAAATATCTCAATAAATATTTTAATAAATTTAGTAAAAAAAACTTGTTTTTACAGCAAAATCCCTGATTCGCATATAGATAGATATACAACAGCAGTGAGCACATATACACCAACCCTGAGGCAGCGTTTTATGTTGGAAATGAACATAAGGGAGATAACTCCAACCAATAAGGTCATCATTCTTTACCAACATTCCTATCAATTTGTCCGGTCTCTACTCAATATCTTAGATAAGATTTCCTATTCTAGATAAGAATGTACGTGCGATCATTTTATCTGCAATATTAAAGTGTTTAATAAATTAATTGGACAGCTTTGGACAATATTCCAGGTATATCCTGAAGCATCAGTTTCATGTAGGAGTGAGTAAGTGAGTAAGTTCAGTTTTACGCCACACTCAGCAATATTCCAGCTATATGGTGGCTGTCTGTAAATAATCGAGCCTGGACCAGACAATCCAGTGATCAACAGCATGAGCATCGATCTGCGCAATTGGGAACCGAGTTTCATGTAGGAACAAAGCCTGAAGTGATGAAGAGAAGTCTCACAGTGTGTACTGCTTTGGAGGAACCCATGATCATGGTAGGGTTATAACATACATAAACATTTCTAACAGTAAAAGTCTTGAATTATGGATGTGATTGTACCGATATACAGCGGATACAGCTTTCCAGAATACTCGTAATCATGGTGGCTCAAACTTAGTTGGTTGGTGGGCTTGTTGTTTAACACCGCACAATATTCCAGTCATATGACAGCGGTCTGTAAATAATCGAGTCTGGACCAGACAGTCCAGTGATCAACATCATGAGCATCGTTCCACGCAATTGGGATACGATGACATGTGTCAACCATGTCGGTGAGCCAGCCTAACTGTGAAACTTTGTAACATAATACTGAAAGCTAATTGCTGACTGGACAAAAAGTTGAATGATAGACACTGGGGAAAACATAACAGTTAATCATGCCTTACAAACCACATATCATGGATCATAGAATTATGCCATATCCATCATGGATCATAGAATAATGCCTCATGGATCACTGATCCAAGATCATAGGACAATGTCATCTGGATCATAGAATAAAGCAGTATGGAACGTGGCTCAAAGATCATACAAATCATATCATCATAGGACAATGCCTTATTCACGGGTGGCAGATAATAGGATAGTGTTTTTTTTATTACATATCAGAATAATGACATGAATCATGAATTCAAGATCACAGAATAATGTCACATGGATCTTGGATCACAAGATACTGCCTTATGGACCACAGATTGTGTCTTATGAATCTTGGATCACAGGTAATACAAACAATTCATAAAGCTTATTGCTGACATTTAACATACAATTCCAGTCTGAAATGTCCAAAATCAACAAAAAGTTTCAAACAATGACATAGTGAAAACACTGCACCCAGATTATCTGTGCAAAGGAAAAGCATCGTGACAGTTTGTACCTGATTACAAAGACAAGCTGGATACTGATGAAATGACATCATTAATCCCAACAGTGCACATCTTGTATGCCTTTACAGACGTGACCTTTCCTCCGAGGACCTTGGAGATGTGATAAGATCAGATAGCTGCTTATTCAAAGAGAAGGTTTATTTTTACAATTCAGGGTAGAATACATCCTCTTTCTGAGACACTACATCTGGCTACTGAGGATGGAAATTAAGTATAATTCCGAAGAAAATAAACACAATTAACACAATATTCAATATTCTGATTCATCCATAAATAAATAAATAAAGATTATTTCCACCCAGACAGCACAGCAACCCCTCCTGCAGTGATACAGACAGGCACCACTGTTTACAATGCCACGAATGTGTGTCCATACTTTCTAATGAACATAGGTCACACTAAGTCCATCACAAACTCATTAACACACAATCACCATCACTATGTTCCATCAAGTTTATTGGCCATGATTCATGTTCCATCCAGTTTCCTGGCCATAAGTCATGTTCTATCCAGTTTCCTGGCCATAACTCAAGTTCCATCCAGTTTCCTGGTCATCACTCATGTTTCATCTTCTTTCCTGGTCATCACTCATGTTCCATCCAGTTTCCTTGCCATCATTCATGTTCCATCCACTTTCCTGGCCATAACTCATGTTTCATCCAGTTTCCTGGCCATAATTCATGGCCCATCTTCTTTCCTGGTCATCACTCATGTTCAACCCAGTTTCCTTGCCATAACTCATGGTCCATCTTCTTTCCTGGTCATCGCTCATGGTCCATCCAGTTTCCTGGCCATAACTCATGGTCAATCTTCTTTCCTGGTCATCACTCATGTTCCATCCAGTTTCCTGGTCATCACTCATGTTCCATCCAGTTTCCTGGTCATCACTCAAGTTCCATCCAGTTTTATGGCCATAACTCATGTTCCATCCAGTTTCCTGGCCATAACTCATGTTCCATCCAGTTTCCTGGCCATCACTCATGTTCCATCAAGTTTATTGGCCATGATTCATGTTCCATCCAGTTTCCTGGCCATAAATCACGTTCCATTCAGTTTCCTGGCCATCACTCATGTTCCATCCAGTTTCTTGGCCATGATTCATGTTCCATCCAGTTTCCTGGCCATTATTCATGCAATGTTTAGACGTTCTTGGTTTGAACATATGTTCAAGTCACCTCCCTTGTAATCAGTGTGGTTCAGATCTTCCACTGATCACTGAGGAATCACTGAGGCATCCATAGTGTCTCACCTGAGCTCAGGCCACAACTGTGATAGTCATCAAACCCCAGCCACTATCAGATAACTTTCCATGTGCAGTGGGATATTTGAGTCAGTTCAAAGAAATACATCCAAGATGGATCAGCTAACATTCAACTCAAAGCAAGACAAATTTACTTTCATTCAAGATCAACCCAAAGACATCTAAAACCTAACTTTCACTTCCAGTAATAGGTCACCAAAATATAAAAATTCAGGGCAACTGCCAGCTTCACATGACACTATGATTGAAGTTTAATAAGACCACATTCTAGATAAAGAGGCATCATTCACAGCCGACTAATGAGTCACAACACTGCCTCCACTGTACACAGAGCAGTTGTAATAGCACCATTAGAACAGGAGCAACAGTGAAAGCAGGAACAGTGCTTGGGCTGCAATATTCTAACTAAATTTCCCCCCAAAGTCCAAACAATCGTCTCCTCTCACATGACTTAACAACAAATCCCTGATCTTGATTACATCCCGAATCTGTAAGCACAATTTTGAAGTGCGATACGAGTATTATAAAGAACACATCCACTGTTTCTGCTATAAATGAACATATTGACAAGTTGTTTTCTGTGGAACTGCCCATGTACAGATTTTCTAGTGACACATCAATACATCTCCTCACTCTCAGTATGTAACGCCTCGTTCTTCTGCAATCTGCCAACTCTCATCACCCTCCATACACCTCACCACAGTCCCTGGTGAGTCACCTTAGTGCTCCTTGCCTCTAACATACTCCCACCACAAGGTGGAGCTTCAGCATCACTTCAATTCAAACTCAACAAGCCCAAATCTTGAAAGGAAGCCTAAGACACAAATCTTGAGACTGATGTTCTTCCATACCACTCAAAAAACACAAGCTTCAGCACTACATCAATGCTTGAGTTCAAATTTTGCAGGCAAGCTTCAAAACTGATAAAGGTATAAGTTCAAAACAAGATGAACATAAAGTCCCACTAACACTTGTCAGTGTGAGCTCCACTACATCTTTGAGCACTGTTTGTAAACTGTGACAGCAAAGGTCTGTTTTCTTTTCCAGTCCTCTCCCAATGGGAGAGAGAGAGTTATCATGACCTGGTGTGTGTGGAGGATAACTGAGAATCCTTCGTGACAGCCTGTGTCGCTTGCTCCTTCATCCGAGACGGCTCGGTCAAGATACTGGTTGTCGTACTTAAATGCCGTAACGCATTCAGAACAGCTGCAAGAAAAATACAGCTTTTAGAGAGATAGTCAAATGTGTTCTTCAACGCTGATTAAATATGGTCCCATTACAACATGACCCTTTATCTTCTGTGTTTTATATCCTTCTGATCATGATATCGTCTTACACTCATTAGCTACCATGGCTTCGTTTTCACTCCAGTATTTCACGGACCATTTTCAATTAAAGTGACTCTTTAAATAGCTGTCCAGTCAGTAACTGTCACAGGTGAGAGAAGAATAAAAAAAATTTCAGGAAAGTGACAAGTGTGTGCCTTTCCAAACGATGCAATGGTAGCAAACTGTCCAAGGGTATGTTTCATAATAAAACAGAATATCATAAAGTGGATCATCCTCGATAATCTCCAGGGTATACATTCCGATAAATCTCCACTAGTACCCTGGATGCATCTTCGGCTCTTTGTTGGCTTTTTATCCAAACAGGTGTCTACGCTGGGAAGTTGAGAGTACCAATCACAAGGCTTCTATCATAACTCCAAAGGTATACCCTGGAGATTATCGAGGATGAAAGTGGATATAAAAGTAACTAATTCCATCGTCTTCAATCTTTCCAACATCGGCAACTGATGCTCTTTTTGTCTTAGTTTCGGTAAGTACACATGGTAATCATAATCTTGGCACATTTATTAATGCCTTGCAGATCTGGGGACATAATTTTAACGCTAAATCTTTATGTCAAGTGATGTTTTTTCATGAAGTTTGTTAATGCATGCTCCTTCATAGCTGAAGTGACTGAAGGGCTACAATGTAGTTTTTTCTGCACACAATACTAAAAAAACATTTCTCCCAAAATTATGACACCTGTCAGTGTATGTGATCATTAACATAGTTAGTGGTTTAATGTGCTCTGAATATTCATTCTCAGCACCCTCGGAAGTATACAGTCGAGCACCGTTGTCTCGATTTTCATAGGACCAAGACAAAAATATCGAGTTATCCGAACTTTGAGACATCCGACCAGGGCATATCGTCACATATCACTATGAAAGAAAACAAACCGCTTCTCAGTATGTTTTGATTCGAAACTATTTAATCCGTTATCAGTCGTGTTTAGTCGTAACAGTGAGTACTTCCTAATTATTTCCTTCTTAATTAATCCTTATTACATAACAAACAAGTGACACCTTCAACTCAATTAGTCCTAATTAGTTTACACTACCGCATGCCTTTGATTCATGCCGCACCATGTGTAAACGTGTGGAAACCTCAGTTCAGAGGGATACTTGCCCACGACAGGTAGGTGAAGATCAAGTTTCTTTGCAAATATCGAGTTAAAAGGGTAATTTTGCTTGTGGGGACCATGAAATTATATCGAGATATCCGAAATATCGAGACAACCATATCGAGTTAAAAGAGCTTGAATAATGATAAATTATGAAGTATTTTGCCGGGACCGAGATGTTATATCGAGACAACCGAGATATCGAGTTATCAGAGTTCAACACAACGGTGCTCGACTGTACTACCAAATCTCTGACAGGTAAAAAGTCACATGACCACCTCTTCCATGTACACTTACTTGGCCTGAGCGAGACAAGGGAACAGTTCTGGTCCAGCCAGGCTAACACAGTCCGACAGAGTTCTTCAATACTAGCCGTTGATACTGTGTTGTTGAATGAACCAAAAAGGTTCCTGATAATTATTGAAAACTGGTCAATTGTTAAGGACATGACATCAAAGAACACAGATATTACTGCTACTGATTTGTTCAGGAAGTATCAGCAACAGGTTTGAGACGAAAGAGCAATGCCCTTGTCAAATCCAACTAGGCAGCTTTCTAACAGATCATGACATTTTTAAGGCAGATTTGATATGACACTGTGGCTCTCTTAAAAGATTGTCTATAAAAGTATAAGTAATACATTTCTATTGACAAACCAGAGGTTAATAGATGAGATATAAGAGAGTGAGCTAAAGTTTCACATTGCATCGACAATATCTCAACAGTAAGACATTAATAACATAGATCATTAGATTGCAGATCAACACAATAACGCAAATATCATAATCATGAGCGGTATAAGAGTCTATCAATCTATGTTTCATCCGTGCAAAATTTTCATATTGACTAACCATTCATGAATGAATAAATTCTTATGTAATAGGAGTAGTATATTCAGTATGTTTTCTTTCTAACTTTCTTCAAATGTATGGTTTAAATTCAAGCTTAGGTGACAGGAGAAAATGCATTTCTCACTGGACAGCTTCACCCTACTTTTCAAAAACATTCAATTCAGAAAGGATACAATCCAAAACTTCCAGTTGGTGAGAGTACGGTTTCGGACATAGCTATCAAACATGTCCTTCATCTGGTCGACCCTCTGCCTTGTAACTGGTACACCGGTCTCAGGCAACTGTGACTGGACAACACTGCAAGGAAAGGTTAAGATTCAAGGACACATCATCTTTTGATAACACTGAAAGTCATTTAATGAGGGTTAGTACAGATTATCAGCCATCAAATATTTAAGGCCGTTTTAGGGGCTTTTCAAGGCCCAAGCAACAATTGTAAGGAACTATCGAAATACAGGTAACACATGAGTAGTTGAATACACACAAGGTTGGTCAAATGTGAGAGCAACCATCAGAGGGAGATAACTCCTAGCTACATCACTGCACTGGGAAAGTAACACCCACTGACATTGCAAGGTATTTATATTATGCATTAGTTTCCGGAAAAATCTTAACTTGACCGATTTTGGCAATTTGGGCCTTTCCAAGGCTAAAACATATTTAAGGCTTTTTCAAGCCTGTGCAAACCTTGCTAATGGTAAAATCAACAGTATTGCAGCATTGTTACTGAGTCAAGACTAAAAGAGTACAGTCTACCACAAGCAATCTGGTATCTGGAAACATTGCAAAGATCTACACAGTGTGAATTTGGCACAAATCAGCCAAGTCACCAAAGGCTCACCTTAGCCAGCTCACAGAGGACATATTCCTATCCTGGAGTAAATGAGTGAGTTTGGTCTTACGCCGCTTTTAGCAATATTCCGGCAATATCAAAGCGGGGGACACCAGAAATGGGCTTCACACATTGTACACATGTGGGGAATCGAACCCAGTTCTTAAGCGTGGCAAGCGGACTCTTAAACATTAGGTTACCCCACTACCCCTCTTACCCAGGAGGCTGGGTGCCTGCGCATGTCCTTGCTTATACTTACCTGGACAAGTGCCTCTATCAAAGTGCTACTAAGGGACCGTTCATAATTTATGGCTAGGGGGGTGATTATGATTTTAAGGGGGGTCACCAATTTTGTTCTGGGGAGCAAAGGGGGTTCATCAATTTTGTACACACGTACTAGGGTCGGCAGCAATTTTTAACATAAAAATATTTAAAATTATGCTTATAAATTAAGGGAAGTGTGTGTGTGTGTGTGTGTGGGGGGGGATTGATTTTGTACATGACATACAGGGGGTCACTTATATTGTACATAAATGGGGGGGGGGGCATTCACATTGTACATGATTCTCTATAAAAATCATCATCACCCCCCCTAGCCATAAACTATGAACAGTCCCTAAAGTTAGATACTATGCCACAGTTTAAAATGGAGAGCCCTTCGAGAGACCATCTACTGACTCTGAGCTGACGTATTTAGGTTGATCCCCATTAAGGGCCAGACATGTTAACAACCACATCTGTAATCAGTGAGCTTCAATAAATCTGCTTGTGACTCACAGTCCTGGTTTTATGCTGTTCTAAGCAATATTCCAGCAATCTCACAGCGGGGGACACCAGAAATGGGATTCACACATTGTACCCATCTGGAGAATCAAACCAGGGCCTTTGGCGTTACCAGTGAATTCTTTGACCACTAGTGGTGGTCCGATTAATTGAAATAATCGAAGATTGGTCGCAGTGACTAAACGACCAAACTATCGATCATGTTTTCTCATAATCGAACACAAACAAATTCTGGAACACTTTTTGCATTAATAATATTTTTCACAAGGTTGGTTTTGTCTGTTACATTTCATGAGCACTACAAGCTCGTTCCAAGTCATGATAGAATTTATCTTAAAGGCCCCAAGAAAGTTATGTTCCTAACATATTAGTCATCCTTTCAAGATGTGAAATTTGCCACAAAAAAAACCCTAAGAACTACCTGTTTTTTCTTTTTGTTTTTGTGCATTAACAAAAATAACCAGGAAAAATTCATAAATGACGCTAACCAATTATTTTCGATGATTGATCGGTTGTAATGAAGCAATCATCAATTATAAGATTTTAACCAGTTCCCAACACTATTCACCACTAGGCTACCCTAACACCCCCTTAAAGTCAAGATAGTAACATAGATACCTGATAGCTGCATTAAGAGACTCTATTTCTTGTTTTAGAATCTCTGCTTCCTTCTGCATTTGACTTCGTTCTGACTTGAGCTTCTTGCAATAATCAGCAGCTGGCAAAGACAAAACCAGACGTAATGAGTGACAGACCTAAATGTATAGACTTCAGAGACTGACATGAAATTACCTGTATTTCAGGTGTGGTACATCAAATAACATTTTGTAATCAAATGATACTATATATATATTGACAGGATTTCAGTGTACATCTATGTTTGGATTTCTATGACAACCCTACAAGACTAAAAGCAAACAAACATTAACCTGAATTGAATATTTCCATGTCAGAGTTTGCCAGTTTTGTTTTTTAACTTGTGCAGATTCATTTGTTTGTTTTTTTGTTTGCTTGTAATGCTATACACAGTGAAATTTCAGCCTGATGACATCAGTGTGTAAATAATTACGTCTGACCTAGATTGATATCAATCCAACATTGGGTTAAGTTGACACGCTGTGAACCAAGTTAAAAAATTTAACCTGTTGCCTCTTAATCAAGCTTTGCTGTAGACATATGTAATTAAAATCCCTATTGGGAGATCAATTTGTTTCTCAGACAAAAAACAGTTTAAATCAACCTTTCCTTACACAGTAATTGTAAGAAGAGTGAGTGAGTGAGTGAGGTTTCACACTGCTTTCAGCAATATTCCAGCAATATCACAGCGGGGAACACCAGAAATGGGCTTCACACATTGTACCCATGTGGGGAAAGAAACCTAGGTCTTCAGCATGATTAGCGAACGCTTTAACCACTAGGCTACCCCACTGACCCCACAGTAATTGTAAGAAGAGCGAGTGAGTATGAGTGGTTTCACACTGCTTTTAGCAATATTCCAGTAACATAACAGCAGGGGACACCAGAAATGGGCTTCACACATTGTACCCATGTGGAGAATAGAACCCAGGAACAAGGGGACGCTTTCACCATAAGGCTACCTCACACCCCAACGTAAGAAGAATTGTACTCACTTTTCTGAAGCATGGCTGCCTTGCTGACCTTGGGGTTGACACTAAGTGCCGGCACTAGTGTATGCAGCATGTCGAAGCCACTCTGTGGAGACAAGGAGTTAATACATGTACACAGAGTAGAGCAAGGAAGAGGCAAGCAGGGAGGGGGAAGCTGGTGTCGCCTAACATTCTCCAACAAGTCACAGGCATTATCAGTTTGTAAACAGATCCTATAGGTTTGGCAGCTGGTGTTTTCACACACAAATATGTTTTGTCTTCACTTCTCTAGAATGCACATGCCATTTTGCAGCAAATGTAAGTAAAAATCATGAGATGTGTACACAGTATTGGTCGTCAGGGACCAAAAACAGATTGACAACCATTAACAACCATTAACATGTCAAAATTAAGTAAAAAAACTAAAATGTTGACCACAATTTTGTTGAAAATAAAGACCTACCAGTATTCTAGACATGGCAAAAGTTTGTCAAAAATAACGAAGTATTTTGCAAAATTTTAAAATCAAAACTAGTGCGGTTTGCTGACGATTAATTTTAATCTGGAATCTCAAGGGACAAAAACATCAATTTAATAACAGGATTGCAAATGGAATGATACATGACCTCTTGTCCAACAATCTATACATATACAGTCTATAAAGTGTACACAGTCTACACAATCATTCATTCGACATCCTTATCTTCTGATAATAATGTAAGTGAGTCCCATTCAAATATAAATACAAGACATTCCGTCACCCCCTAAAATACTGAATGGTTGGTCCCTTAGAATACATTGACAGAGGTCTGTACCCCAAAGCAATCAGTGAGTGAGTGAGTGAGTGAGTGAGTGAGTGAGTGAGTGAGTGAGTGAGTGAGTGAGTGAGTGAGTGAGTGAGTGAGTGAGTGAGTGAGTGAGTGAGTGAGTGAGTGAGTGAGTAGTTTTATGTCGCCTTTTTCCAGCAATATCAAGGCAGGGGACAATAGAAAAGGGCTTCACACATTGTACCCATATGGGGAATCGAACCCAGGTCTTCGGCGTGACAAGCGGACGCTTTAACCACTGGGTTACCTCACCTCCCCCACAGCAGTCAGTAGCACTGCTGCAGTTGCAAGTCTATGTTAAAATATGCGAGGTCACCTTATTCATCTTAGCGCTATGATCACTTTCTGAAACACACCCCTTGGTTTTCAGTTATCAGTACCCAGTTATAAATGTAGCTAGGAGCTCACGAAGGATTTGTCCAACCTCACTTCACTGATCAAGCTATTATTTTATTTTACAACATAAAAACAAAATACTACTAAAGCTTCCGCCAATAGCATATGGAGATGCAACACTAACAGCCGAATTACTTAAGCACAGATACCATTGTCCCAAAGAAATATTCGCAACAAGCAAATACTATCTGTACATTAAAACCTCATATTGAACTCAATATGCTCTAAGTGAGTGAGTGAGTGAGTATGGTTTTTACGCCACTTCTCACTACGCCAGTCCCTGAGTAAGTCAGCTGTACATTTACGTCTACAGCAGCCAGGTTGTCAAGTGTGTCAAATAATTCAATCAGTGAGTGAGTGAGTATGTTTTTTACGCCACTTCTCACTACGCCAGTCTCTGAGTAAGTCAGCTGTACATTTACGTCTACAGCAGCCAGGTTGTCAAGTGTGTCAAATAACTCTGTGAGTACGTTTTTACGCTGCTTTTAGCAATATTCCAGCAATATTACGGCGAGGGATACCAGAAATGGGCTTCACATATTGTGCCCATGTGGGGAATCGAACCCCGATCTTTGGCGTAACTAGCCAATGCTTTAACCACTAGGCTACCTCACTGCCCCTCAACAGAATAAAATGTGAAGATATATGTATATCTAAATAGCGGTAAAAGTGATGCCATGATAGGCCATAATATAATAATCAACAATAGACACTCATCAACGGACAAGAAAAAGGTTGAATTAATATATTTTGGCCTTGCAAGGGAAGAGAAGAAGGATAGGATACAGAAGCTGTGAGCGTAATTATTGAAATTAGATCAATGTTTCAATTTAAATGGACTATCACATGAACATTAATCCCATCTATAGAAATTAATCTGAATCCTTAAGGAATATAATTTTTATAATCACTACTTGCGGATTTGAAAGGAGTGAGTGAGTATAGTTTTACGCTACTTTTTGCAATATTCCAGCAATATCACGCTGGGAGACACCAGAAATGGGCTTCACACATTGTTCTCAAGTGGGGAAATCGAACCCGAGTTTTTCAGCTTCAGGAGCAAATGCTTCAATCACAAGGAAAGACCATGTATCTACAGCACTGTATCTACAGCACTGTATCTACAGCACTGTGAGAAGACTATGTAGCTGAGAAGCCTTCATCCTACAAGCTCCAACCTCTTGCAGTGCTGTGGAAGCTCAAGTTTCCAAACCCATCCTAGAGAACTACAGCTCTAACATAAGCAAAGCCAAACACTGCTCCATAACCATGCTAAACATCTTACTGGATAAATGACTGGGTTCAGTGACACATTCTGGGTTAAATAAACACAAAATGGTTAGCCTCAACTCCAAAATCTCACTACCAAATTATATTCTCTCACAGAAAACAAATTCATTTCTCTGAATCATCCATTATATAGTCCTACTTTTACAATTATTCGTTAAACAGAACACGAGATACATTGAAAGAGAGGGTCTATGCAGGCAAGGGAGTCCCTGACTGTCAGAGTTTCAGGGTTGGAGATTAAATGCAAGCAGGTGCACAAACTGAAGAGGATTTAAGAAAATTGAATGATTCTCACATTGGGGTTTACCTTGAGATTACATCGCCGTTTCTGCTCCGCAGACTGGTGGGCCATCCTCCGCTGTTCGTGGTACTGAACCTTCTCTGGCTCCAGCCCAAAAGATATGTCCACCTGGCCAGGGCTCATCTGAACAGTGTTTGGAAATTTCTCAAAGTGTCAAGACTGACTGAGTTTGGTTTTACGCCGCTTTTATCAATATTCCAGCAACATCACTCCGGGGGACACCAGAAATGGGCTTCACACATTGTACCCATGTGGGGATTCGAACCCGGGTCTTCGGCGTGACGAGCCAACGCTTTAACCATTAGGTTACCCCACCGCCCCCAAAGTGTCAAGAGTAATCCCCCCATCAGTGTCTTGCCAAGAAGATCAAGAAATGGGGACAGTGGCCCTTCAGCACAAATACTTGGTGTCCGTTTCCAAACCTATGGTGTCATACTGTTTCATGTACATAGTGTCTATTAGGAACCGTTCATAAGTTATGGCTAGGGGGGGTGATGATGATTTTAAGAGGAGGTCACCCATTTTGTTCTGGGGAGGCAGGGGGGGTCAGCAATTGTGTACACATGTACTGGGAGGGGTTTTGTACAGAGAAATATTTAAAAATTATGCTTAAAAATTATGGGAAGGGGGGGGGGGGGAGAAATGTAATTTTCTGACTAAAATTGATATTTTATACTTATCCTGACTCATGCTAATTATGCTTGTCTCCTTCCTCTTGCGAATGATAGTGGAACACTTGAAATCCCTTGAAGTTCCCTTCTAAAAAAGCGGACGTAAAATCACTCTCACTCACTCATGTAGTCTCCCTTTCCTCCATTTTGGCGCCCTTTTTGGTCACATGACCAGCCATGTTTGTCACTCTCTCCGTATGTATGCCCGACACCCGGATTTACAGGGAAATCCAGAGTGCCATAAGAGGGGAAGTAGGGAGGGCTAACCTCATGAGTCAGGAAAAGCATAAAATATCAATTTTAGTCAGAAAATTACATACTTTTCCTTATCCTGACTCATGCTAATTATGCTTGCAGAATCCGTCGGAAACGGTGGTAGGTCAGGCCACATTCTGGATTCACTAGTTGTAGATTTACGTCCTGTATTACCCCCAATGGGAACTTATGACGGCACTGTTGAAGATTCTGTTCTTTCAACTTCTCTCTGATGAGTCTGGGGGGAACCACAACTTGTCAGATTTCTTCCGAAACTTCTCCTGACATTTCCGTGTGGATTTTAGATATACTAATCTAATACATTCAAAGTCCAGAGCATGTATTTCTGACATCCGTGCAGCTGTTGCTAGGGCGATCAGGAACAGCGTTTTCTGAGTTAGTAGTTCAAAGGATGTTCGTTCTAGAGGCTCGTAGGCATCACTGGTGAGATGTTGTAGAACTATCTTGAGATCCCAGACACGAGCCTTAAATTTCTTTTGTTGGTCTTCCAACTTGAACGAGCGTAGTAGTGCCAGAATCTCTGGTACTTTGGTCAGCTTGATACCCGTTTTCATGGTGATAACTGTACTGAGGGCAGCCAAGTAAGTTGAGAGTGTTGAACCTTTTAAGTGTCTCGTCTGTCGTAGATGACATAAGTATTCCGCCACTTGAGGATGTGTTGCTTTCACCGCTGTAAAGCCTTTCCTCTTTGCATAATGTTCAAATCTCTGCCACTTGTCGTCGTACAAGTTGCAAGTTGATCTGCGTAGAGCTAGTGTAACTGCTTTCGCTGCTCTGGCGGAGTACCCTCTGGTCTTCAGGCAAGCTTTAATACGCTCCACTAGTGTAGATGGGACAGTGTCTGGTTCCCGTGAGCTTGCTTGGTGTGTGGATGGAAGAGTAGGTTCGACCACTCTGGTAGTTTCAGGGTTGGACTTCCGAGTTCTTGTATGAGGACGGGAAACCATACCCTCGCTGGCCAACAGGGCTCGACCAAAATCAGTTGCAACGTAGTCGTCTGCTTGATTTTCTGTAGTACTTGTGGTAGCAGTGCAGGAGGTGGAAACACGTAAGCGTTTAGTCTTTCCCATAAGATGCTTAGAGCGTCTGTTGCCCATGCCTGAGGATCTGGAATCGTTGAGACGAATGTTGGTAGCTGTTTGTTAAACTATGTTGCAAACAGGTCTATTAGTGGGGATCCTATAGTCTGTATGATGAACTGGAATGCTATGACATTCTTTGCTCCCGGAACGACTATGCGATTCACTGGTGTGATGAGTCGGAATTCCTAGAAATTGCAGATCTTGTTTCGGCTCCAGTTCCGACTTGAGGAGATTTATTAGCCATCCTAGTTGTGTGAGCAGCCTGATGGTGAAGTCTAGTTACAGTCTGAGATGACTGGGATCTTGATGAGCTTGAATCCCGTCGTCCAGGTAGACAGCAATGCGTAGTCGCTCGAGTAAACAATCGGGGGGCAGACGATATTCCAAACGGTAGAACCTTCCACTGGAAGTGATGTCTGTTGAAAAGGAATCTTAGGTATTTCCTCGAGTCTTGATGTATCGGGATGTGGAGGTACGCATCTTGTAAATCTATGCTGGCGAGGTAGTCTGCTGGACGAACGAGATGTCGGAGCTGAGGAAGATGTATCATCTTGAATTTTGCTGGTCTGCGTAGATACTCCCGGTTGAACTTCCTCATGTTGTAGATGAATTCTTCTTCGGTACCTTGGAATGCTTCTTTGGGTATCAGGAAAATTGGGGAGTAGAACCCGGGCGTGATGAGATCTTGATCTATCTCTTCTACTGCCTCCTTGTCGAGTAGGGTCTTGATAGTGTCCTTCAGTTTCTCTATCTGGTCGGCTGCATAGTTGAAGGCCATTGGGTTGCTTGTGAGCAGCGGGGTGGCTTCCGACTGTATCTTGTACCCTCTGCGTAGTATCTGGGACACGTAGTCGTCTTGTAGGATTCCCCAATTTTCCCAGTATCGTTGAAAACGTCCACCCACTGTCGAAGGTTGTACAGGAACGGCTGGGGGTGGAAGACTCCAGTCATTCCGAACATGGCCTTCAGCGCTTGATTCCTCTTGCACCCCTAGGTGCTCGGCCTCTTCCGGGGTTACCTCTAGGAGCTCCGGTTGGGCCACGAAAGGAACCTCTCCCTCCTTTCATGCTGGAATACTTCTTTTCTCTGGCTCCTGCAAACTTGGATTTGCTGGAGTAGCGTTGGGACGTCTGACGAATCACATTAGCCAATGTGTCGATGGATTTAATCATCATAACCTCCCTTGAGTCATGAGAGACTTCTCTGACGACTTTTTCAAATCCTCCTCCGAAGATGTAAGATGCTGACCATGGGGCTCTGTATAAGGACTTGGTGAAGCATTCACTCCAAGTGCATGTTGACAATAACCCTTGTCTTCTCAGGAGAGTCAGGCCCACTGATGTGGATGCTAGGTGCTCCGACATAAACTGATGGCCCTCTTCTGCATTAGTAGAGTGGAGTATATCATCCGGTCTTCTTTGGCGGAGGAGTTCTTGAACTTCGAGATGAGTGTTTCATTGATAGCCCTCGATCTGGCTAATCCGAAGAAGGTACGTCTGGTGGTTGTCCTCAATCTTGTAAGTTCTCTGACGGGAGTCGGTGATAATCTTGTAGTCATCATCAACCTCTGGAGCCTTCAGGAAGGGTTCCATCCTATGTAAAAGGAATTTCCTGGCGTTGAACGTCGGGATGTGCTGATTCTGAGACTTGGTGGCTTTATCAAAAGCTGCGCTGAGGTTGTCTGGTACTTGAGAGATCAGGTCGATCGGTGGAAAGGTGAGCGGGTTAAAATCATCGTTGGAAATCTTGTAGGTAAACGCCTCATCTGTGTCCTTAGAAGGTGATGCTAAGTCCAAGCCATTGGCGATCCAGGAGTTAACTTCCATATCGGAGAATATGCCTTCACCTTCTTCCTCTGATTTGGACATCTCTCACTCTATGGATCCACGATGACTTGAGTCTCTATGGGATGATCTGCATGATGAGCCTCGCGCAGGCGAGCGATCCCGATGCGATCGTGTATCCTTTCTGGAGTCTTAAGATGATTCTCTAGGTCTTCGTGAAGGTGGGTTTCTGGACATAGCTTCCCCTCTGTAGTAGTGCCTTCACGCAGGTTCTTGATGGGCGTCAGAGTCCGATGGAGATGAAGACTCATATCTGCGATGTCTATGGGGTTCAGGAGAACGCCTCTATTTCTTCCTGCGTGGAGACTTCTTAGCAGCAATCCCTGGAGCTTCTACGGCTGAACTGATGTTGGTAGCTGTGTCCAGACTCCTCACTTCAGATGGGGAAGATAGTCGTGTCCGTGAGCCTTCGCACAGGCTTCCCTCTTTATCCGGATGCGGTGGAAGAGACTTTAGAACCTTCACGCAGTCTAGTAGTATTTGTAGAGGTCTTCATAGCATCCTTCTCCTTAGCGAAGCGACGTTCCATCATCGACATCATCTGGTCTGTAAACTGTTGCATGAACAGTCCCGGGTTGAAGTTCTGCGTTATCTGAAGAGACTGCTGCAGGGATGATGCATCTGATGCTGAAGAGACGTCATCTAAGGCTCGCTGCACTTGTGAAGAGTTGACGCTGCTGCTATCTCTGGTACCCGATGTCTGCATTGATAGAAGGTCTTCTGTCAATGTCTGCGCTGATAACAATGCCGATGTAGCTGTAGAAGCAGGCTTCGTCTTCTTACTGACGATGGAGACTTCAGGTATGAGGATGGGTGGATCATCATAAACGTCTGCTTCTTCCGGAGGAACAATCTCGGCTGAGAAAGACTTCGTCTTCTGCGTAGAACTGAGCATAGACTTCGATGAAGTCTCCATGGTAGTAGCCTTCTTCTTCTGCGTAGAAGATGATTTAGCCTTCTTCATCTGCGACGAGGTCAGCTCAGTAGACGATGATCTCTTATGGCCTCCGGTGTTCACCACTGGTACAGCGACCTGCTCCCGAGAAACATTCAGCAATTCACTGGAATTATGAATGTCTGCAGCAGTGGTTAACACACGGTTATCAGTGCCATCACTTGATTTAGACATGACTTGTGAATACCTTCGTACCCAGGCCTTAGCACGTTTAAGGATGGAAAAAAGGTAATTAGTAAATTCAACAGAGGTTAAATTTACACAAAACTTACAGCGAGAGCTGAAAGAACATGAAATAGTGATATTAGGACATAATAAATGAGGGTCAGCCGCAGACACTCGGTACCTACAACGAATACAGGTTTTCATCAAATGTAAACACAATGAAAACACACGTCAAAAAAGGAAAATTATATCAAATTTCAAACCATAATGTAGAATGTAATCTTAAAAACCTAATGTCGATCAAATTTCAAACCATAATTTAGAATATAATCCTAAAAACCGTATACAGCAATAATTTTGATGTAAGGTCCGAAAATATAAAAGGATATATGCCGTATAGGGACCCAGGTGCTCTCACAACCGTCCTCAAGGGCGAAGAAGGAGAGAGTGACAAACATGGCTGGTCATGTGACCAAAAAGGGTGCCAAAAGCGAGGAAAGGGTGAGTGATTTTACGTCCGCTTTTCTAGAATGGAACTCCAAGGGATTTCAAGTGTTCCACTATCATTCGCAAGAGGAAGGAGACAAGCATAATTAGCATGAGTCAGGATAAGGAAAAATATTGATTTTACACATGACATGCAGAGCGGGGTCACTTACTTTGTACTCAAATTTTAGGGGGGTCATTCACATTGTACATGCTTCTCCATCATCACCCCCCCCCAGCCATAAATTATGAACGGTCTCTTAATTCATCAGCTGTGATTATAGCAACATCCATCAGAAGGGTCTATTTTATATAATTATGTGAGTCATTGTGTGTTATAAATATGTTTTCATCTATACAGCTGCTTCAATTGCTTTCTTTGCCATATTCCTTTTGATTTACTGTCACTGCTTTTCATCGGATCAAAGCCATAAATGGTCCAATCAGAATTCTCTTAACAATTTTTTTCAAGTCTAGTGAACACATCTCTGATACTGCCAAAGATGATGCTTCTGTTTCACTGACCCTGGTACTGTTAAAAAGTCCCAACACAACTTCATGGAAACAGCCTGAATTTTGTATCACATGATTTGCAATAATGGTTTTTGCTTTGTGATATGCACCATAATTAGTTGCATCCATTTTCTAACCATTAATTGGCTATGGCCATGAATAATAAAAACTTCCCCTACAGATTTGTTACAAATTTGAAATCTACATGATTGTTTGTTTGCTTCTTTGTATGTTGTATAATACCGCAGAGGGCAATAGTCCAGTTATCCTACACAACTCAAAAGGATCAAATCATGTAAACAGTTGAGGACATCATGATAACTTACCATGCCAGAGAGAGGCGACATGACATCAGATTGTGGGGAAGGTGGTTGCCGTGGCGATAGATCCAGCTGAGGGGATGGCGGACTTTGTGGCAAAGGACTGACTGTTAAGATATTAGCGGCTGGAAATACACATCGAATACTTTAGTACACAGCAAAGAACTAATATATAGTATTACGTCTACCATTCTACCTTAAAACCACCACAATAATCAATGTTCAGTGACAAAAGAGTAGTGTCAGGTTATACTACTTAGAATGAGTTTTTCATGTGAAGTGGCGAGCAATCTTGTTGTCATGGTAACAAGTTCTTCAACTCACATGGTTTTGGTGACATAGACAGCACATCTCTGGAGGAGACAGTAGAAATGGTGCTGAAAGCCTGACTGGCTGCTGCTATTAGAACACTGGTGGGGAAACTAGAGGGCACCTGTAACAGATAAGGCACATCACAGATTAATGAAAGACTTAACTGCAAGTTTCTAGTAAACTTGAATTAACAATGAATGTATAAATATTGCTTCATGCCACATCAGCAATCTTCCAGATATTCGCAGCAATTGAATCGTCTGTGAATCTTACCTCAAAAGACTGGAAGATTACCTTTGTAAGACCTACAGGTAATCCACATGATGGACTAGGGGCTTACCTTTGTAAGATGTATTGGTAGTCCCAGTGATGAACTTTGAGACCTACTATTGTAAGATGTACAGGTAATCCTGGTGTCAACCTGTGAGGATTACCTTAGTAAATTCTCTAGCTACTCCTGGCAACAAACTGGAGGCTTACCTTCGGAAGATCTAAAGGGATCATGACCACGGACTGTGAGACTTAGCTTTGCAAGATCAATAGGTAATCCAGGTAACAGACTGGAGCTTACCTTTGTAAGGTTTATGGGAAATACTGGCGACGGACTTGACACTTACCTTTGTAAGATCTATGGGTAATCCTGGCGACGGACTGACACTTACCTGTGTAAGATCTATGGGTAATCCCGGTGACGGACTTGACACTTACCTTTGTAAGATCTATGTGTAATCCTGGCGACGGACTTGACACTTACTTTTGTATGATCTATGGGTAATCCTGGTGACGGACTTGACACTTACCTTTGTAAGATCTATGGGTAATCCTAGCGACGGACTGACACTTACCTTTGTATGATCTATGGGTAATCCTGGTGACGGACTTGACACTTACCTTTGTAAGATTTATGTGTAATCTTGGCGACGGACTTGACACTTACCTTTGTAAGATCTATGGGTAATCCTGGTGACGGACTTGACACTTACCTTTGTAAGATCTATGGGTAATCCTGGCGACGGACTGACACTTACCTTTGTAAGATCTATGGGTAATCCTGGTGACGGACTTGACACTTACCTTTGTAAGATCTATGGGTAATCCTAGCGACGGACTGACACTTACCTTTGTATGATCTATGGGTAATCCTGGTGACGGACTTGACACTTACCTTCGTAAGATCTATGGGTAATCCTAGCGACGGGCTTGACACTTACCTTTGTAAGATCTATGGGTAATCCTGATGACGGACTTGACACTTACCTTTGTAAGATCTATGGGTAATCCTGATGACGGACTTGACACTTACCTTTGTAAGATCTATGGGTAATCCTGATGACAGACTTGACACTTACCTTTGTAAGATCTATGGGTAATCCTGGCGACGGACTGTGTGCTGGTGATAAGGACCCAACAGCCACTGCGGGGCTGCCGGGCGATGGACTGGATGGCTGTTTACTGTTGGAGCGTGTGGGATCAGCAGGGCGGATAGGCTGGTATGTGGTGGTACTGGGGGATGTGGTGGGGGTGGTGATCTGGCCTGACACGGGCTCCTTCTTTACACTGATTATTGCACCTGGGTAAGTTCCTGCAACAAAAAACATCATAATGATACAGTGCTCCTTTAAGAGCTTGGCACAGCAGCTTTTTCACAAATGGCAAATATAATTAAATTGGGGTTATATTTCATTTGTAAAATAGTTTAACTTTTAATAACACCAATCCAGTTTTCATAATATTCACCATGGTTGCAATAAACTTGAACATATACTGACAGAAGCAAACATGCCATTACAAAAGCTATGTCTTCATGGCAGAGCCTTCATGGCAGCATCATCAGCATATTACTACATTGTCTCTGTGGTGGTACTTGTTGTTACCTTGCCTTTCACTCCATATAAGGAGATGAAACAAGGTGGGGTGAGGTGAAATTGGGTTTAACGTCGTGCTTGAGAATATTTCGCTCATATGACGACGTGTGCATGCATGTGTATGTGGATGTGCGGCTGCTTGTACTAGCCCAGACTGAAGCTGGTTTTATAGTGCTAGCCCACTGAGATACCATGCCGCAGTGAAGCATGAATACCCCACTCCGACACATTATACTGATTCCGAGCCGACCAGTCCTTGTTGTACCCATTAATGCCGAGCGCCAGGCAGGGACCAACAAGTACCATATTTTAACGTCTTTTGGTATGACGCGGTCAGGGATCGAACCCGCAACCTTCCGCTCTTCGGGCGGGTGCTCTCACCACTACACCACAGAGGCGGTCAGATGAAACAAGGACTAGGTGGATCGGAGTGAGTATAATGTGCGAGTACACCACCCTAAAATAGGGAAATGTTTATAATCTGGAACACTTAGGCTTTCCTCCCACATTGATCCAGCACACTGATAACACTGATATAATGTTCATAGCTGTCACTCCTCTGATTCTGGGAACTTGAGTAAAGCAGTAGTTACCTTTAGTGAGTAGTTGGGCGAGGTATGTACTGTGCACTGAGGGGGACGATGAAGGCGGTGATGAATTGATAGGAGGGGCAGGGGCAATGATTCTGTTCTTGCGTGGTGTCTGGACTGGCTTGCCCTGAAAATGGATCATCATCATCATCATCATCATCATCATCATCATCCTTCACAACAACTGATTTAAATTGTGCTACAACAGACCTGAAAAATGTAATTTTTGGAGTAAAATTGATATTTTATACTTATCACTGACTCATGCTCTTTTTGCTTGTCTTCTTCTTCTTAGCGAACATGAATGGAACACTTGTATCTCCCATAATTGAAGCTCCCTTCAATTTAAAATCACTAATTAGTATTCACCACGAGTTACCTCCCCTTTCCACAAGCACGGGAGCCTCCTTTCCACAAGCTGAGCCACCTCTACCCATGTGCCTCACTCTCTCCTCATATACTGAGCCCAACATTTGAATTTACAGGAAATCCAAAGTGTTATTTGGGGAGGATGGGAGGGCTGACCTCATGAGTCAGGATAAGTATAAAATATCAATTTTACTCCAAAATTACATATTTTTCCTTATCCTGACTCATGCTCTTGCTTGTAGCATCCTCACAGGACGGAGGTGGGAATATCTAATACTTTGGATTTTTAATAATTAGTGATTTGAACTGTGATGATTGTAATAACCCTATGGGAACTTCATAAAGGCACTGAATTGATGAATTCCTGCTGCTAACTTATCAGCTGCCATATAAAAGGTTATTACCATGTACTTATTATGATAAAGTATATATAACATTAATACAATGCTTAAGACTAATAGACTTAAGCTTGTTAATATGCTAGTATAAACTCCTTAGAGTTTGTTAGCTAAAATACTTTAAGATATAACATAGTACTAAGCTTAAGATATGATTAAACTTAAGCTAATTATATAATAGCAAACTCTTTAGAGTTTGTTAGTTAATATACTTATATGATATAGATATAATGCTGAGCTTAAGATATGAATAAGCTTTAGCTACATATATAATAGCAAAAACTCTGTAGAGTTTGTTAGCTAATATATTTTTATAATATGAGTATAGTACTGTGCTTAAGCTATAATTAACTTAAGCTACATATATAATAGCCAAACTCTGTAGAGTTTGTTAGCTAATATATTTTTATAATATGAGTATAGTACTGTGCTTAAGCTATAATTAACTTAAGCTACATATATAATAGCCAAACTCTGTAGAGTTTGTTAGCTAATATATATTTATAATATTAGTATAGTACTGAGCTTAAGATATAATTAACTTAAGCTACATATATATAGCAAAACTCTGTAGGGTTTGTTAGCTAATATATTTTTACAATATGAGTATAGTAGTGTGCTTAAGATATAATTAACTTAAGCTACATATATAATAGCAAAACTCCATTAGAGTTTGTTAGCTAATATATTTTACAATATGAGTATAGTAGTGTGCTTAAGATATAATGAACTTAAGCAACATATATAATAGCAGAACTCCATTAGAGTTTGTTAGCTAATATATTTTACAATATGAGTATAGTATTGTGCTTAAGATATTATTAACTTAAGCTACATATATAATAATAAAAACTCTGTAGAGTTTATTAGCTAATATGTTTATAGTGTAACCATAGTACTAAGCTTATAGTACTGAGCTTAAGTTATGATGAAACTTAAGCTATATATATATAATAACAAAACTCCGTCGAGGTTTTGTTAGCTATCTGCTATAATGTAACCATACTGCTTAAGATATGATGAAAACTTAAGCTAATTGTATAATAGCGAAAACAACCCTTTAGAGTTTGTTAGCTATGATATAAACCTAGTATTGAGCTTATGAAGGAAAACTTAAGCTACATATATAATAGCAAGAACTCCGTGAGAGTTTGTTAGCTAATACATGTTATAATGTAACTATAAAGCTTAAAATATGATGAAACTTAAGCGAAATATATAATAGCAAAACCCTCTTTTAGAGTTTTGATAGCTAATATACCTATATGATATAAACATAGTACTGCGCTTAAGATATGAATAAGCTTAAGTTACATATATAATAGCTAAAACTCTGTAGAGTTTGTTAGCTAATACATGTTATAATATAACCATATTGCTTAGAAATATGATGATACTTAAGCCAAATAGCAAAAACTCTTTAGAGTTTGTTAGCTAATCTACTTATATGATATAAACATAGTACTAAGCTTAAGATATGAATAAGCTTAAGCTACCTATATAATAGCAAAACTCCTTAGAGTTTGTTAGCCAATATATTTTAATAATATGAGTATAGTACTATGCTTAAGGTATAATTAGCTTAAGTTACCTATATAATAGTAAAACTCCGTAGAGTTTGTTAGCTTAATTAACTTAAGCTATGTATAAAATAGTCAAAAACTCTGTAGAGTTTGTTAGCTGATGCATTTATCATGTAACCATAATATTACTCTTAAGATATGAATAACTTAAGGTAAATATATATAATAACAAACTCTGTAGAGTTGTTAACTTATATATTGTATGATGTAATAATCATAGTACTGTGATGATAAAAGGAACTTAAGTAAATTATATATAGCATGAAGCTATTTAGTATTTTTATGCTGGGTAGGTTATTTTCCTGGTTGTCGTGAAAGTAATTTCAGTTTTGAATATAATTCCGACTTCCTTATATATAAGGGTATAAACAACTTGCAAGTTGTGAGCTTGTAGACTGTATACATGAATGTATCGTCATAATTGTAGAATTAACGTTGAACTTGTTGTACATATTTCTTCTCAGAAACTTTGACGATTAAGAGTTATACTCGCTGTAACAAGGCTGCTGTTCAATTTCGATATTGAATTGTCTGCAGATATGCGTAATGGTCCGCATGTGTAGATAATCGTGATCGTCGTCGAGGGATTGTATATTAGCAATTTATACGGAATAGTTGATTTCTGTGAAGATCTATGAAATGTCGTTGACTAATAATACAGCGGCGTTCTGTGTTGTAAATAGCCTGAGCAATTATCTTCGTGAAGCTTATAGGCGGCATCTGGCATACAGTTGATAATCAACTTATGCGGCGTCTTGAACGGACTGGCAGTAGCTATATATGGCGAGTGGCTGGTATATGGAAACCTTGGAGGAGACTTCCTCGGTGAGCGCCCGGAGACTCAGCGAAGTTCTCGAAAGTATCCCTTCTAGATCTTCTGGGTGAAGTAGACTTGGAGCCACTTAGCCTTAGCGACCATCGCGCGAAGGTGTCGAAATCAAAGCCCGATTAGTATATATATATATATATAAATATATATATGGCTTGTTGTTTCGTGAACAGCCTCTGTGTTTAACAGGATGTGGGATCGTGGCGCTTGCCTAAGTAGGGGCCGCATGGATCATCTTATCATATTCAGAAGTCGTGTTACACGAAGTCTGGTGATAAGTGTCTAATTGATCGTTCTAGATCTATTTAGGCCAGCGAACATCGTCTCGTCATGGATTCAACAGAACCAATATACGATTGTAGTTCTTATACTTGATATCGATGATCAACTTGTCTATGGGTTGATCTTCGAGGAGACTTGTGAGGGGAGCGTTGATAGTTTGCGAAGCTCTTGTATAGTCCCTCGATGTCCTTCTAGATGATGATGATCTGGATTCAGGTGTCGCCAGCATGCCTTGGCGAAGCTTCCTCTGCGTCGGTCGGAGGAGGCACGCGATATGACCTTCGCGAAGGCTTCCGTGATGTCTGATGGTCCGAGTCCACATCTAGGGATGAAACCGCGCCAAAGGTGATGATCTATCCTGCCTTCGCGAAGTCCTTCGCGAAGGCTGTATCTAGGTTCTTTCCGCCTTCGCGAAGGCTGTACATCTAGGTCCTTTCCGCCTTCACGAAGGCCTTCGCGAAGAGCTGTACATCTAGGTCCTTCGTCAAGGTGGTCCATTGACTTCCTTAGCGAAAGGTGACATCGTCCTGGCTGCTTTCGTTGGCGGGGGTGCCTCTGGGGTGCTGTCGTTGGAGCCTTCGCGAAACTTTCGGACCCTGCTACGCCAGATATTGGTCCTCCATGATGTTCATAATTTGTCGCATCATGTCTTCTGGGATGGTCTGCGGCGAAGGTCGTCGGTGCTTTATCTGCGGTGTTAATGGAGGTCCACGGAAAATCGTCCGACATCAGTGTAGAGGCATCAGGCTGCATGGTGATCTCTGCTGATGTCGTTGTAGCTGTCGATGTCGTTTCTTGTGGCGTCGTCGGGGATGATGATCAGCTGATCATCGTAGAGGTCCAGGTCATCGGCTGGAACAATCTCGGTTGAAAGTCCTAGTAGACCGTTGATTTTCCCTCAGAGGTCGGCGCTGCCCTGGGTGTCGCGGCGTCTGCGTTGAGTGTTAGTAATGATGGGACCCTCAGGGCGATCATCGCCATATCTCGCGTTGGTACATCAGGCTGCATGCTGATCTGTGCGACATCGGTCAATCTTAGATGTACATCCGGTATGATGACGGCTGATCATCATACAGGCCCAAACTTCGATGGGAGCGGTCTGGGTTGTTGAGATGTAGTAGAAAAACCCTCTAGTCTTCTGCTGCGGCGATGGGATGTCTGGGGAAGCAGAATGCTTCTTGGAGATGGCGGACTACGTCCCACACCTCTCCACCACTCTAGCGGAACACCACCGCGGGAGAGTGACCAACAGCAGTAGACTGGCGAGGGTTCCGTGTATCAGTCATACTAGACTCTGCATCTGGCGACCTATCTGCTGTGCGTGCCAAGCGCCAAAGTAAATATTAATAAAGAGGTAGAATTGGATAAATTAGTACGCAACTGCAATGTGAATATAATAAACATGGCCGTACATCATATTAAAGGTGGATCAGCAGCAGCATAAAAAGCGTAATCTGCAATAGTACAGAATTTTCATCAAGCGTAATCCACTGAAACAAACCGGCGGCGTCCGTGAATAAACTGTAGAAAAGCGACTAAATATCAATATATAATGGTTGAAGGATACTAGCTAAACCTCTATAGATGTCTATCACGGGGTAACTAACTAAATATAATCAAAGGATATAGTGTGTCGGGAGACACAGACGCTCTCACGTCCAGCTCACTGGGCGAAGAAGGAGAGAGTGAGGCACATGGGTAGAGGTGGCGCCCTCGTTCCCGCGCTTGTGGAAAGGAGGTAACTCGTGGTGAATACTAATTAGTGATTTTAAATTGAAGGGAGCTTCAATTAGGGAGATACAAGTGTTCCACTATGTTCGCAAGAAGAAGAAGACAAGCAAAAAGAGCATGAGTCAGGATAAGGAAAAATAAGTTGTTTAACAATCTGTCATTAAAATATTGACACAGTTCACTATTTGTTACGAGGGAGGAGTGCAGAGAAAGGGACAGTCAGGTGTTCGAGAACGGATGGAGACGGCACAGCACAGGTTAATGAATAAATAACTTTGTCTGTGAACGTGCTTCTCGAACACCTGGCTGTCACTTTCTCTGCACTCCTCCTTCGTAACAAACAGTGAAGTGTGTCAATATTTTAATGATAGTTTGTTAAACAACTTTATTATTTTTGGGACAAAAATTCTGCAAAAACCTCACAGAGTGGGTATGATGTTTTGATTATGATCAGCGTTTCATTGAGTATGTTATGTTTATTAGTTTTCGAGTTAGATTGCAATTCATCGGTCCGCTTTTGAGCCAAACGGACTGTACATGCGAGCAAGGGATACTCAAACCTTTCTCAATAATACATGGATGCTTTGATATCATGACTTTTAGTACTAATAGTGTTTCACATTACACTCACCTTTGGTACAACAAAACCATCCTTCTTCTGAGGCACAAACTCCTGCTGCACTAACCCTCCTCCAACCCCACCCGCTTGGGGCTTGGTAGCCATACGTGGCACCGAATCACCTGTCTTTCTGAGCACATCCTGTGATGACGTCACTGACGTTGGAGCAATATGAGCACTTGGTAACACCTGTGCAACCCTGCGAGTAGAGGACTGCTCCATTATAGGCTGAGACTTCACTTCAGGTTTGTTCATGACATTAGACTGCATGAAGTCAGTGTTTTGTCCAAACTGATCAGTCTGTAGATCAACAATGAGGCCTGACTGACCCATCCCAGCACTGCTAGGCTGACCAAATGATCCTGTGTTGCCAAGTGCCTGAGACAACTGGTATTCCAGGACTCCTGTTGGATCGGGGTAGGCCTGCTGCTGTAGGGCTGCTAGCTGCTGCTCCACTGTCATGGTAACCTGCATCGGGTCAGAGTTGCTTGACTGAAACCAACAAGAAACACCTTACAGGGTTTGTACAGATTATCAGCCATCAAATTTAAGGCCTTTCTAGGGACTTTTCGAAGGCCCATCAACAATTGTAAGGAACTATAGAAACACATATAACACACAAGTAGTTGAATACACACAAGGCTGGGCAAATGTGGGACCAACCATCAGGGGGAGATAACTCTTAGCTACACCGCTGCACTGGGAATGTTTTGCTTCGCGATGAAGATTAATTAACACCCACTGTCATAGTAATGTATTTATATTACGTATTAGTTCCCTGTAAAATTATAACCTGACACATTTTGCTAAATATAGGGTCTTTTAGGGCAAATCACTGGCAATTAGGGCATTTTCAAGCCTAAAGTGAAGGTAGATCCTTTTTAGGGTAAAATATCCAAATTTCACACTTTTTCAAGCCCGTGTGAACCCTGCCTTAGTTTGACCCATTGAAGTATCTAGGGCTTTGATTCTCCCCTTCATTTATGCACATCTAGCACATATGGTATCTCTATACCTCTTTGTTCACACATCGGCATATGGGTACCTGGTAGGACATGGCAGTGTCATTGTTAACCTCCTGGCACCACAAAGACAACTTGGTTTGTATACTCCCCAGGGAGGTCACAATGACAACTGAATACAATATTGAACAATGGATAACAATTTCTCTTATTTCATGAGTGTGACGTTTTGATACACATTCCTGTACCATTGTCAACAACGGAAATACCCTGTGTGACTTCACGACTTCTAAAAAGCCTCTCAATGAAGACAACTGAATACATGATGATCCATACTAAAAATAATGTAACGCCATGAACATTCATTCACAGTAATATGGAGTGTCAAAAATGGACCAGACAATCTAGTGACTAAATGTTAGTAACAATCAATATCGAAGGGTTGACCCTGACCATTTCATATATTTGGTCAACTCTTACACTTGTTCGTTGTCTAACACCACATTTAGCAAATCTCCAGCTATAATATGGTGGCAGTCTGGACCAGACAATCCAGTGATCAACATCATACATATCAATCTATACAGCTGGGATGCGATGACATGTGCAGAGGCCCAGATAAGCTGCGTATTCGGGTAAAATTTCACATAGAAAATTTCCAATTACACACTGAAAAATAATTGTTGCGTACCAATTACGCATTTAAAATGTTAGATACGCATAAAAGTTTAAAACAAATGCGTACGGAATATATTTATAAAAATCGCTTGCGTAATGAAAAAGACATCGATTGCTATCAAGTTGTACTGTTAGTATAGGACAAGTGTTGTACTGTCAGTATAGGATGAGTGATTTTTTATGAAATAATTTCCATTATACTTAAGTTGGTTTTGATTAGGTATGACATAAGGCAGAACATACCTGCTTAGTAAACTTACTCAATGACATAATACTTAGGTGAGTAAAATGACTGAAATACGCACATTTTTTAAAGCAGTGGGTAATGGAAAATGAAATACCCACTCAACATTCATAATCCCCACTCCAAAAAAATACAGTGCGTACAGTACCCACATGAGCTAAATCTTATCTGGAGCTCTGCATGTGACAATCAAGTCAGCAAGTGTGACCACCAATAAAATTTGTTGCCTCTTATCACAAGCATGGGTTGCTGAAGACCAATTCTAACCCAATTCTTCACGGGTTACCTTTTATGACTGACATAGGTTGCGATGGACCTATTCTAACCATGGGAGGAATAACTAGTGGCAATAAATCTCTGTGTTCTCCCAACCTACCTGCAACGCAGACCCTGTAGGCATGATATCAAGCGAGCCTGTTGATCCAGACAGGAAGTTGGTCATCTGTGTCCGAGAGGAGTTCATAATCATATCTGAAAAGACATTCCATTCCTCCAAATAAGTCTTTGCTCACAGGTAATTTTGTCGGTAGATATTAACATTTTTTTCTGGTGACTATATTTTTTCCCATTCGAACTAGCTGACTGGGTATTTTAAACTAATCAGTTGACATTTTAAAAAGAGAAATAATATTGAAAATTAACACAGACCTGTATGGAAACACAGGTACGTAAGATGAAAAGGACACATTAGGTAATTAAGCAAGCAGTTCAAAATCAACTGGGAAAAGGTGAATGTAATTCAAATGTTCTGGAGATATACTGCTCATGCCTGGCCCTGAGGTCAGGAATGAAAGTGATATTTAGTGATAGAATGATTTAACTCCAGTACTTCCGTAGGTGAGTATGGTTTTACGCCGCTTTTGGCAATGTTCCAGCAAAATCACTCCAGGGGACACCAGATCCAATTCTTTAACATTGACTTTCGAATCTTCCTTGAGAGGAACCTAACCTCTACATAATTATCATAATCATCTCTATTCTAAGTTAGAAATATTCATAACTGTCACAGCTGAAAGAAACCTTGATAATGGCCCTTTCTATATAATCCCCCCTTAAGTGTAAGAAGGACTCACCGTGCACACTGTCCACATCCATGAAGTCCTCAAGGTTGGGCTGCAGTTGAATCAGTCCTGGCTGGATTAGGTCAGCACAGCCGAGTTGAGCTGCATCGACAAGGACATAGGAGTGAGTTTAGTTCTACTCTGCTTTTAGCAATATTCCAGCAATATCATAGCGGGAGACACCAGAAATAGGCTTCACACATTGTACTCAAGTGGGGAATCAAACCCAGGTCTTTAGCGTGACGAGCGAACGCTCTAACCACTAGGCTGCCCCACCACCCCAACAAGGCCAAAACTGAAGAATTGTAGGAAATGGCATTTTACACCAATAGTCCAGCATATTTGGAAGCCTTTCCTAAATAGTCAACCCCCGTCTTGAAAATCACTGGTTGACTTCATAAGCAATGATCCCAAGTGATTGTGGCGTCCAGATTCCACTTTCAGTTGACCCTTATGACAAGGATGGCATTTGGGAGACTTACTCTGTTTCGAAGGCTAAAAAAAGAAGGTTATAATCCCTCAACTTTCTATATTGATGAACTACAAACCATACACTTGTGCCTCAAAATGGGACCTTTTATGATAGTTTAATATAACAGTCACTATCAAATTTTGTAATCCTTTCTTGTCGAAGTGGAAAGCTATATTCCAGCAAAGGAATATCTGTTCAGTTACTGATTCAAGACATACAGTATTTTATTATGTTCTACCTCTTTTTCAGGACAAATGGTATGTCCAGATTTTTTTTGATTTCTTTCATTTCGGCAAATATAAAAAAATATCTTCTGGATGAATGCCTATTTAAAAAAAACAAATACCTTCCAGAAAACCTAATTGCCATGATCAAATCTGTTACCTGACCTAAACATCTACTTGTTTTTCCTGCAATATAAATGGGCATATTTCTATACACTTACACAATTCACGAGGATTGGGAAACTGAAACGGTTCCTTCAGTGACGAGAAAAGATTATCTGTGAAATCCATCTCCTCGAAATCATTTGTGATCAGTAAGTCTGTGGCCGATGCTTGAGACGGTCTTGGGATCATTGTGGAATCCTTGACCCTTTCCAGCAGTTCAGCAATGGTTGCCACCTGGTGAGGGAAATCATCGTCCTGTAATCGGTATTAGTAATAGTTAGAGCATGCGGGGTTAGTAACATAGATACAAGTCTCAGTAGTTGAGGTGAGTGAGTGAGTGAGTGAGTGAGTGAGTGAGTGAGTGAGAGTGAGTGAGTGAGAGAGAGTGAGTGAGTGAGTGAGTGCGAGTGTGAGTGTGAGTGAGTGAGTGAGTGAGTGAGTGAGTGAGTGAGTGAGTGAGTGAGTGAGTGAGTGAGTGAGTGAGTGAGTGTGTGAGTGAGTGAGTGGGTTTTGGGTGGGTGAGTGAGTGATTTTTATAACCATTCTTTACTCATGTCATTCAATTTGTCTATTTTTGGGTCTGGGTATATGAGTGAGTGGGTGAGCGAGAGTATGAGTGAATGAAAGACAGTGAATGAAAGAGTGAGTGAGCAAAAGAGTGAGAGTGAGTGAGTGAGTGAGTGAGTGAGTGAGTGAGTGAGTGAGTGAGTGAGTGAGTGAGTGGAGTGAGTGAGTGAGTGAGTGGGGGTTTTGGGTGGGTGAGTGAGTGATTTTTATAACCATTCTTTGCTCATGTCATTCAATTTGTCTATTTTTGGGTCTGGGTATATGAGTGAGTGGGTGAGCGAGAGTATGAGTGAATGAAAGACAGTGAATGAAAGAGTGAGTGAGCAAAAGAGTGAGAGTGAGTGAGTGAGGTTTTACCCTGTTTCAGCAATGTTCCTACAAACCGGTGGTTGATAGCATGAGCAACACTCCATATGGATCAAGTATGGTGACAGAACCAGCCATGTTACATTTTATGTTCTACAAATAAGATTCTGAAAAGAACTCTCCTCCAATTTAAATACAGGCCCTATGTATTGCTTTGAAAACGCACACATTCAAATGTTTGGAATTTCCTGTATAACAATGCACCAGCTCAGTTCTTGCCTAATGTCTGTACAATGTTTTATGTGGAAGTATAAAATGAACAGCCTGGAGAATTGAGTTCTTTTCTGCACAACAACTGTGTTGAGAATAACGTTCAAAACTTAAACAAAAAATGTTATAGTAGCCTTGTGAACACTGTAAAACCTACTGGGTTATTTTGCACATGTTATCTTATCAACCTACTGGTTTGGTTAAATGTTGTTTGTAATCTGTAGAATGCATTAGAAACAAAGAGAAACCTGCTATCAGAGCAATAAATTTACTTTCATTAAGGCTACAGGCATTAAAAGCAGTGAAGCCACATGCATCAAAATCAAAGAGGCTACCTACATGTACTAAAAGCAATAAAAATGCATATACTATCCACAAAAAGAAAAGAACTCAAAACATATATTGTAACTAGATGTGTACATGAATACAGATGTATAAGGCAAAAGGTGAAATGAATTGAACATTTGCATGAGCTACGTTTCATGACGTCAGTGGTTTTGTGCACGTTTGTGGATGTGCACCTCAATGAAATTGTGTGGAGCACATAATGTCAAAAACTGCTGTCTATTTGGGAAGTTGTTATGACATTTGATTGTTAAAAAAATGAAACAACTTATGAACCACACATGAAGCCAAGGCTCATGACTGAACGTACAAGGCTATTGCAATGGACCGTGGGGAGATGTCTCCAGGTTACGTGGCTGCGCAAATCACTATTTCAGCACTGTTGACTATCTCAGATCAATAATATAGTGCTGATCACCCATGTTCATGAGTCCACACATGACAAGAACGGGTAACCAATCTCTTGCACAGGTTCCATACTGCAGCGACCACTGCTCGGACCATTCCAGGACCATTCTACCCCTACAGGCACCACTCACATCATTGATACAACCAGGTCGTCCCTCCATACAACCTATCCTCATGCAACATCATCAAGAAAGGTAATCGGTTGTGGTGGAGGATGAGTGTAGATTTAATACTCTCATAGTGACAGAAGTCAATGTGTCTACAGACATCTTGGGCATTATGCTCAAGCTTATGTCATGGAGAGGAATTCAGTTGTTTCCGTTATGATTTAAGGTGGGATAGGTGCACGTTAGAACACCTTCAGTTGTTTACCTCAGTTTGACAGGTAGGGCCAATAAAGATCAGATTCCTGGACCAATTGTAGCAATTCTGTTTTTTCAATGTCATGGCTAAGGACTGACATTCCAACAGGAAAATGCACGTCCTCACATGGCTATGGCTGCAATGGCTTTTCTCAAGAGCACCATGTTCAAGTACTGCCTTGGCCTACCAAATCACCAGGGTGCCATTGTTCAAAACAACCTTAGGGCTAAGGCTACCTTAAGTCAGTGTTAAAGTATGGGAGTTACGGTCACCTTAGTGCTAAGACCGCTTTGTACAACGGCACCCAGATCTCTCCCCTGTAGAGCATGTGTGGGATGAAATGAAGTGACGTCATCACCATGTACCAAATCCGCAAGATAATCCTGCCAATTTGACAGATTTATGCATTGGTGATGCAGTGCTGTTCTCGCCGCTCACGGTGCAGTAACCCATTACTGGATCCTTGACAATGTTGCTTGACAACATGCCTCGAATTTGGACTGTCATGGACATTAAACATGCTGTTCTGTCACCATCTTATGACATCAATATCTACCTAGTAAAGTTTACATGCAAACTTTTCATTGTTGTTATGGTTTCAAATTCAGAAAGAATTTAACAGTGCATACTTTCTTTTAGTGGTCAGTATACACCAAAAGCAATTAGGTCACTTGCACTTAACACAATGAGGCTACATGCATCAAAGGACTAAGGTTACTTGCATTCAAAGCAATGAAGGCTATAGAATTTCAAGCTAAATATTAGCTCTTCTCAAAAACAAAACATGCTATATAACAAGATACTTTGCAAAACCAAAAAGCATTTATCATGTAGTGAGTGAGTGAGTTGAGTTTTACGCCGCACTCAGCAATATTCCAGCTATATGGCGGCGGTCTGTAAATAATCGAGTCTGGACCAGACAATCCAGTGATCAACAGCAGGAGCATCGATCTGCGCAATTGGGAACCGATGACATGTGTCAACCAAGTCAGCGAGCCTGACCACCCGATCCCGTTAGTCGCCTTTTACGACAAGCAGTCGCCTTTTATGACAAGAATGGGTTGCTGAAGACCTATTCTACCCCGGATCTTCACGGGTCCATTTATCATGTAACTTTTAACAGTTTCAAAATAATAATAAACAGAACATTATGATCCTGATAACCAATGTTATAATAAACTTCTTTGTAAGTCATATCAGAAGTACATTATTGCTAGTATTTACAACATTAACTTGTAGATAGCTTATTAGTTTATTATAAGAAAAGGGTCTCAGTACCTCTTGCATCTGTGAGTCTGGGGGGTTCCTAGATACTCGTTCTTTGAAGTACCGCCTCCATTTCTTGTACTCAGCTGTAACGGTGTCTAACCGTCTCTTCCAGTACTTGCCCTCCAACACAACAGCCTGGAAGGATACATGCAAATAGCTAAATATTTCACATCGAGCTGCATTGATCAACTTCAAAATTCCTTTTTCAAAGATTGCAAATCAGAGAATTTCTTTCCTTAAAACATAAATCTAAAATTTATGACATCAAGAATATCCTATGAGCTGGTAGAATGTGCATATTCTTGTTTGCTACCATTGATGACGGGCAGACCCCCTTAAAGAACAATACATAAAGAGGTATTTTCCGAGGAGTCATTTTCAACCAGATCCTTAACAGGATATATATACATATATTTATTCTATGTCAATATCCCAACCCTGTACAGTTTTTCCTGTCCCATTTCAGTTTTTCTTCACCTTAAATATCAAGGTCAGTTTTCTTCCTTTCTATCATTACATGTAACACCATGCATATTGAAGCTTCAAAGATTATAACTCTTCCCTCAACTTTCTTTTATTCAGCAGCAGGAAAATATTACAACTGTCTTGCTTGCCTGTTTATCAGAGGTGAAAGATTATAATCACTCTTTAAATAATCTAGCTATGAGATGGGTCAGTTGCCCTCTCGTAAAAATCCATATCAAGTCAGGTGCTCAGCCTGTACAGGCAGCAGGACACCATATTGTCATATGCCTACATGTCACTAAGGAAGTGAGTGAGTGAGTGAGTTAAGTTGTATGCCGCACTCAGCAATATTCCAGCTATATGGCGGCGGTCTGTAAATAATCGAGTCCGGACTAGACAATCCAGTGATCAACAGCATGAGCATCAATCTGCGCAATTGGGAACCAATGACATGTGTCAACCAAGTCAGCGAGCCTGACAACCTGGATGGATGAACCACTTCTTAATTAAAGCAAGAGAATCGTGTCGGTGTAGGTTCTAACACAGCTATCAAGCAAGTAATGAAGAGAATAAGGATTGAGAGGCATCTAGACATGTGTATTTGCCTCTTAGGGGTGAAATGGTATGCTCTTACCATGGTACAGTATATACTGCGGTACAAGGCCTTTCTGTTCGGTCCATTTTGTTTCAGTATATGAGATATGATCATAATGCAGAAAATTGACAAGAGCCAACCTTACATTGTTTAATAACCTGGGAAAAAAAATAACCATAATCTTTGTCATTTTGAATGAACAAAACTGTCAGTTTATGACTAGATAGAAATGATGGTACGAAAACCGAAAATAACTAACTTTCTGGATTACATTACAGTTTATCATCCAAACTGTGTTTCACAGGAGATATCGCTTTGACAGTAGATTTTGTACAATGCCCTGACAATGCTATAACATCATCAACTTGATGACAACACAATGCTATGACATCACTGCACTGCAAGTCTAATGGTAGTACTGTGTTCAGAGATGTACATTTTTCATTGAAAACTAATGAAGAATGATTTTTGATGATAAATGGAATCTCACCCTCGTGTCTACTAATATCAATCATATAAACACTCGTTGATAAAGGTAATAAAAAACGATATTTGTAACTTTATCAACTGATATAATTGATCTTGGGTGAGACACTTGGGTGAGATTGTCTATATACCGAACTGAAGACAACATACTGTGGTTCTACTAATACTGTAGTATATCGTTTCACCCCTAATGCCTCTCAATCCTTTTTCTGTTCATACAAGTTTATATATATGCCTCTCAATTCATACTCATTTTTACTGCATTTTTTGTGATTGAAAGCATGTCTAATAAAAAAATATCCACAAATAATTCTCAGCTTGAGGCACCAATATGACAGCATGACAAAGCATGTTACTACAAAGCAAACAGTCATGTGTAAATTGGTATTTTATGTCCTTGTACTCTTTGTCATACATGACTTACTTCAAGTTACTTGAGTATGAGCATCCGGGATATAAATACTGTATCCTAAAACCTATCCTGCACTGTATCCTGCACAGTTAATGGTCTTTTCTAAATATGTCATTGCACATGAATACGACAATCTTCACGATCTTGAACCCCCCAATAGATCCTGATTTCATACATATCTTCAATAAACACTTGCCTCCTGGTTGTAACTATGGTTATACCTTGTATCAGCAAGACAAACAGATGTTGAAGGCCATATCATGCATGATGTTTGAAGTCAGAATGTCCTTTTAGAGTGAGATGACGGGATGATAAGATGCATGAAAAAATTACTTACCTCGGGCTTTGTGTGAATGTCGTCTGACAACGGAGTTGCAAACTGGCAAACATTGGGTATTTTCCCGAAAAACATCTGAAAAATATAATTACCTTTACAAAATCATACAATTACAGTTATGTTGAAAAAATTTATGATAACTTGAAAACAGGGTGACGTACAACTTCACAAAAGTGAATTCTCAGCAGTAGTGAAGAAACTGCACTGGCAAGGAAAACATACTGAATATGGTTTAAAATATATAGTGATTCAATGTGCGTAAGTGAGAGAGAGTGAGTATTAACATCACAATATAAAGCCATAAAGTGAGACTTTAGCCCTTCTCATGTCTCACACGATTTGATGTGTCAATTTATAGTCAATCTCATAATATCTCAAACCCATGCTTGTCATAATAAGTGAATAACAAGAAGACAAAGTCATCAATATCTCCCGCAATGGCAAAATACTCTTCATGATTATGTCTACGAGTTATGATTATGTCAAATATTTAGGTGTGTATATAGAAAAGTGAAGGAGAGTATTGAAAAGTCTTTAAAGTTCTGCTCCAGAAAATAGCACTATCACCAATTCCAGTCAAAGTGCAACTTGTTGCCATGGAAAAGCCAACATATTTTATTCAGAATTCCAAAACTACCAAAAGGCACCAGTACACCACTAGATATATGTATGTGCCAAGTTTTGTGAAGAAACATTGAACGGTTTTAGAGTTGTGCTCCGCGGAAAAGAGCACTACAACTAATTTCAGTTTTAGTCAAGCTTGTTGCCATGGAAATGCCAAAAATATATTATTCAGAAATCCAAAACTACCAAAAGGCACCAGTACACCACCAGATATATCTATGTGCCCAGTTTGGTGAAGAAATAGTGAACGGTTTTAGAGTTCTGCTCCGGTAAAGACAAAAGTGCACGGACGGACGGACGGACACACGCACGGACGGAGTCCATTTTAATACCCCCCGCAAAACGCGTTGCGGGGGGATAATTAGATCGGGCGGTCAGGCTCGCTGACTTGCTTGACACATCATCATATCCCAATTGGGTAGAACGATGCTCATGATGTTGATCACTAGACTGTCTGATCCAGGCTCGATCATTTACAAACCGCTGCCATAAAGCTAAAATATTGTTGAATGCGGCGTTAAACAACAACCAACCAAAACAAAACAAGCAAAGACATCTTGCAATATTATCCAAAAGTCTGGAGCATACTTATCAGCAGTATCCTGCTGTGTTTATATTGTGTTTCAAATGATCTCTCAGAATGTGGCCCTGAATGTTTTTAAACAGTAACCCAAGCTTGTAAGAGGGGAATGACGGGATCGGGTGTCAGGCTCGCTGGCTTGGTTGACACATGCCATCGGTTCCCAATTGCGCAGGTCGAAGCTCATGCTGTTGATCACTGGATTGTCTGGTCCAGACTCGATTATTTACAGACCGCCGCCATCTAGCTGGAATATTGCTGAGTGCGGCGTACAACTAAACTCACTCACTCTATGGTGAACTGTGGGTCCTAGCCTACTTGTTCAATTTCTTGTCAAAACACTGAAGTACCCTTTTCAGGCATAGCTCTACTGAAAATGCTTAACTGTTTGGAATCACCTCAGAATTGGTCTTTTCAAGTGGGTGATAACTCCAGAAGGCAAAGATAAAAGGTATCACACTTTGTCACAAATACATTATGGCGAGAATACAATATGTTTTCCGAATTTATAGTAACGAATACGAATATTTATTCACGAAATGTACTTAGGTTCAAGCAAATTAAATTGCTTAAGTTGAAACATTTAAATGATATTTTCTATGAAGCCAAAAAATAAATGCAATGCAAACAAGAAGACAAAGTCATCAATATCCCCCGCAATGGCAAAATACTCTTCATGATTATGTCTACAAGTTATGATTATGTCAAATATTTAGGTGTGTATATAGAAAAGTGGAAGGAGAGTATTGAAAGGTTTTTAAAGTTCTGCTCGGGAAAGCAGCACTATCACCAATTTCAGGCTAAGTCAAACTTGTTGCCATGGAAATGCCAAAAATATTTTATTCAGAATTCCAAAACTACCAAAAGGCACAAGTACACCACCAGATCTATCTATGTGCCAAGTTTGGTGAAGAAATAGTGAACAGTTTTAGAGTTCTGCTCCGGAAAAGAGCACTACAACAATTTCAGGCTAAGTCAAACTTGTTGCCATGGAAATGCCAAAAATATTTTATTCAAAATTCCAAAACTACCAAAAGGCACCAGTACACCACCAGATCTATCTATGTGCCAAGTCAAGTTTGGTGAAGAAATAGTGAACGGTTTTAGAGTTCTGCTCTGGAAAAGACAAATGTGCATGGACGGACGGACGCACACACACACGCACGCACGGACGGAGTCCATTTTAATCCCCATCGCAAAACGCGTTGCGGGGGATAACAATGATGAATATAGCCTAACCACAGTGCCATAAAGGGCCTTGGCAAAATAATGTTTGGCAATATTCCATACTGTATTCCCACTTAGATAAACAACAATCTAGTTCCATGTAAAAAGACTCTCTGACATACATATTCAATTCTAGTGGCAATGACTAATGAATTGAATTCATGAAAGAAAATGGTTTGATTCACCGAATACAAACGCAAATCTTAACGGGACTAACTGTCAGTCAATCCAAACATACATGCCAACCAAACGACAACAAAGTCTTATCATATGGCCTAATATATATTAGAAAATAAGGACCTAAGGTCGAGGCAGAATAAAGGGACATCTACTTACACTGCAGGTGCCATTCCCTCCAGATGATGTTGTTCAGTCTGATCTTGTCCTTTATTGACAGGTGCATGCCACGGAACGGCTTCCATTTTGGACTTGTAATTTTCCCACTGCAACATCAAGAAAAGATGGTTAGGAAGTGGTAAAAAAGTCGCAAGTGGTTTTAATAAACTTTGAGAATAGAAAAGTCATACAATTAGAGCATTTTTTCACAGCCTCACTGTGGGGAACACCAGAAATGGGCTTCACACATCGTAACCATGTGGGGAATCGAACCCAGCTGTGACAAGCCAATGCTTTAACCACGAGGTTACCCCACCACCCCTAAAAGTGTTAACATAAAGAATACTGCTGAGTGCAATGTACAACATCAAACCAAACCTAAGGCATAGCAATAGATATCACTACAAATCAGGGAAGCAGATAATGTTTTAAGCCATTGTGCATTTATTTACAGGTATCACTGCCATTGTGTATAGGCTAGGTTTATTTAGTATTAATATATTCTAATCATTTGGATTCAGTCTATTGGGCATTTGAAGTACATATAACAACCAATGTTCTAAATGATCTTACTTGAAATCCCATTAGGGTGACAACCAGTGCATTATTCATTGCATCAGAATTCACATAGCTGTGAAGCCTGTATTTGTACTGTATTTGTACTCTGCTTGTACAAGTCCAGAGTAAAGCCAGATATATATAATTATCCCACAGTGTAACATGGTTACCTCACACTACACCAACTCGGAGTTGACCTTGTGTTACCTTCTTAATTCCAACCGTTAAATAGGATAACAAATACATTATTCGACTGAGTGAATGAATTGAGCTTTATGCCACTTTTAGCAATATTCCAGCAAGATCACAATGGGGGACACCAGAAATGGGCTTCACACATTGTACCCATGTGGGGAATCGAACCTGAGTCTTCAGCTCGATGAACCATCTAACCATTAGGCTACCCTTCAATATTTTAAGTTCTGTTGGTATCAACCGGTAAGAGGATACGACTCATAATACCCTCCTTACTTTCTGAATACCTAGAATTATAACATGCAAAGGAGGTTCAGATAGTTATTTTATGTGTGTCCATTTCACTTGTGAAAGTACAGCCCCAGGTTTCATGTTTATCACTGGCTTCATATTAAGAAACAAAACATGATTTATGAATGCATCCTATACTTAAAAGTCACCTGCTTTACCTCAGTAACCCGAGTCCTTAACACATGACTTAAACAGAGCCACTGGCACTCTAAGGAATTGTGAACCTAGACTAACCCTTAGTCTCTGTATATATATATATATATAATTTTGATAGTAACAAACAAACCCATTTAAATTGAAAAGGAGTCCCAAGGAGACCAGAGATTCAGAACATGAGGAACATCTAATCTAGACTTGTTTCATTTAGGGCTATAGCATTGTAGAGAGGGGTTGGCAGTAGGGAAAATAATGTGGTTCAGGGACTGTGAGACAGACTATTGTGAACCCTGAATATGTCCCATGTTGATGCTACCACTGTAACATGACCCATGTGTACCCATCTATCTACCATTGTGTCTACATGACCTAGATTCCACATACACCTACAACAAAAGTAGGTCAGCTCTTATCAAACTACCTTTGTAGGTCAAAAGAAACATACAACTTGTTTTGGCCTGATGGCAAGACATGAATCTAGAGTTAGCTGGGTTTAAAAGTTTCAGTTATATTCCAACAGAAAAGCCCTGGACATATAACACAGTAGTGAAACAAGTGCTTGTGTTGACAAACCATACATAAAAATCGGGCAAAATAGGAGATTTAAAAAAGGATTAACAACAATTACACCCACTGGCAAGTAGTGTTGGGAATTGGTTAAAATCTCACAATTGATTATATGTTTGTTAAAGCAGAAAACAAAGAAAATTCATTTGCAAATTGCACACATTACATTTGCAAATTTCACATCTTTAAAGGATGACTAGTATGTTAGGAACATAAATTTCCTGGAGTCTTTAAGATAAATTCAATCCTGACAAGGAACAAGCTTGCAGTGCTTCTGAAATGTAACACTAACTGACAAAACCAACCTTGTTGAAAACATTATTAAAGCAAACAAGTGTTCCCAAATTACCACTACTGCAAAGTCATATACCTCTGTCCCCCAACATTACACACACCTCCCATACACATCCCAAATTCATACCAAGTAATAAAAGCTGACACTGAGCTGTGGACTACCAGGCTAACAAAGCACCTGGTGTATGTCCTTGCTGTTGTGACCTATGTTAAACATGTCAAGGGAGGGCTGGGCCTTATGCCCAGGTTCACATTTCCATCCCAAGTCTTGATGTGTAGTTAAAGTGTTTTGTTAAAATGAGACATTATCACCATTAAACAATAACAGCTGAATTGATATACATCATAAAAAAATAAACACTTGTAGTGTTTGAATGACTTGGACTTTGGACTGTAGCTATGTTTAGCCATGCTCCAATCTGTACTGAATCAGTGAATGTACAGCAAGTCAATCCTTATATAAGATAAGAAGATAAGAGGATCAAGTCTTTCACAGGGACAACATATTCTTACTATTTATATTATACAGAAATTATGACTGACTGACTGACTGAGTTTAGTTTTACGCCGCTTTTAGCAATATTCCAGCAATATCACGGCGGGGGACACCAGAAATGGGCTTAACACATTGTGCCCATACAGAAATTATGACAATGTGAAGACAATGAAACTGTGGATCAGCACTAAATCTGTCTGTCATTTAAGGTAAATGAGTGAGTTTAGTTTTATGGCACACTGAGCAATATTCCAGCTATATGGCAGTGGTCTGTAAATAATCGAGTCTGAACCAGACAATCCAGTGATCAACAACATGAGCATCGATCGGCACAATTGGGAACCAATGACATGTGTCAACCAAGTAAGCGAGCCTGACCACCCGATCCCATTAGTCGCCTCTTACGACAAGCTTGGGTTACTGAAGGTTCATTCTAACCCGGACCTTCACGGTTAGTTCACCATAGAAATATGGAGTCATTTTAAAAACCTCTTACGACAATCATGGGTTACTAAATCTCAATATTCTAACCCTGACCTTCACGGGTTCTGTCATTTAAGGTGTCATATGGGCAATACATGAGTTCAGACTTATTATTAAATCAGGGATAGAAATGCATTTTTTAAAAGGTGCCATAAGGCACAAGTCAGATCATTTAAGTGTCCCTTTGTGGGACTAAGTGTGCCCATACCTTTAAATGATCCAATTAAACTTATAACATCACAAGGATTATGTCAATTCAATTTGCTGTTAATACATACATAAACCTGTCACCCTGAGAGCTGGATTTCCTGAATACTATCATGACTGCTAGAGTAGTAAAGCTTCATTTGCCCTGGACCCATAAACAAACCCATAAATAACAGGTATATTGTCATCCAACAGGATTTTCTGTCACATGCACTGGCATTCAAACAGACCATGCCCACATTGAGCTGTAAGATGAGAGTGCCACCGATAACTAATTGGATTATGTGAAAAAAAAGGGTTTTGAATCCTTTAAATTAGTCAAATTTATTACATTTTCTATAAAATGGTGTATATTATTTTAAAAATCTTAGGTATGCTAGAAGAGCACCGTGAAAATATTTCATCCATGCCATATTTCAATGTACACTGGCATAATTTCATCCGTGCCATTTCAATATACACTGGCATGGCACACAAATGAACACTATTCCAGTCCCTGTAAATATAATTATTTACAGCACAACCATGGTTTGTAAGCCGAGTGGTTAAAGTGTTCACTCGCTTGTCATGCCGAAGACCCAGGTTCGATTCCCCACATGGGTACAATGTGTGAACCCCATTTCTGGTGTCCTCCACTGTGATATTGCTGGAATGTTGCTAAAAGTGGCGTAGAAATAAACTCACGTGACAAAAGCTTTACCCACTAGGCTACCCTACTGCACCTGCAGCAGCTGCAGGTGTAAGTGGCATCCTGCAGGTGTATCAAGTACACAGTCTGTCCTCTTAAAGTACAAGAGACATACACCTTCCAGGGCTCGATTTAGTGCTTTGTTACTTGCACTGGTGCTAGCAAATATTACAAAGTGCAACCTAGTTATTAGTCTAACTTGCACCAGGTGCAGGTCAATTTGTGAGTGGGTAAACTTGTGAATAAAACATCTAAATAGTTCAATAGCATATTTTTTTCATTACATATTGCAATAGAAGCAGTGCAACTGGGTCAACATCTCTTAAATCGAGCCCTGCCTTCACTGAGTAATTCTTCATGCACTATGGTGTTCATTATGTTCATCAGAGAGTGGCTGTCTGAATAGATGTATGCTTACATCACTTGTTTAACTAAATTTACATGTTGTGTTCTATCATGCATAATAGTGAGTTAACAATTATTTGAACAATGAATAACTTCATAAATTTCCTGAACTTCAAGTTCATTAGGTATCGCCATGATTGTACATATAGCATTATCTGAGCCGGCACACATAAAGGTTGATTTGTATGAGATATTTATAATCATGCTTCAATACTTTTTGTATTTATAGAAGAACAAACTTGAAAACACTGGTTATCGCTCACAAAATGCAGATCAATAATCGGAGCTCAGTAATCGATCAATAATCACCTGTAATCTTAAACCCCACCACAAACCTCACGTAGGGAATAACAGGACACAATCATAACATAAACAGGCACTGATAAATACTACGACCAAGACGATCGAGGTTACTTCCTGCTGAGACACGCACTCCAGTATGTTTACATGGCAGTTTCTCAAGTCAGGAAACTGCATCAGTTGTTTAAGGTTGATTTAACAAACATAACAATAAGAAACATACTTTCTAAGGTTGAATATTGATTAGTCCCCAAAGATCATCGATAATTGCTGCTGCAAACAAGATTATTCTATCAATTGCTCTAGTGCTATATATAACAAAGTGTACATACAGCACAAAACATGGTTAAGCAGAGATGTTTACTGTATGGACACTGGTATGTACATTTATACCTCTACAAATACTTTGAAAGTCAATTCTCAAAATCAATCAATCAATCAATCATTCAATCATTCAATCATTCAAT